TTAAGGTACTGAGTGATATTATTTTCTAATAATTTATATTATTCTCTAATACACCCTCTTATGCAAGAGGCCAGGAGCTCTTTTGGACTTGAAGTATGGATATTATACAGACTCAATTTTTTTATTTACTTGATTCAACTAGAAAGTGAAGTGCGGGAAAGATCGATCTCGTGATCTTGTGGTTACTGAATCTCTAATATTATGTAAAAAATTAATTCAACTAAAAACATTAAGGTGTTGAGTGAGGACCTTTTTTAATTGTTTATATTATTCTCTAACACTTCTTCCAGAACTTTTTTTTTATTTGTTGAAAAAAACTAAGAACGATGGGAAACTTTTTCTATTCTAAAAATAAGATAAAATATTAATGTTGTACATTGTACAATAAAATTATAAATTTTATTAAAAAATTATATTTGAAGTAACTTATGCAATTATCATGAACAGCGTACACATGAGAATAGCCAACTGGTTATAAAAAAGAAAAGAAAAAATAGCCAACTTATTAGCAATTCTTCCGTGTTTTAATTTTTCGCTTTCTATAAATGACAGCTAACTGAGTTTGAGGCTATTTAATTTATTTTTTTCGGTAGAAAGAGGCTATTTAATTTAATCCTAGTGAATTGACGGATTATACAGTTACATATACATGAAATGTCTAGCTAAATGCTCTTGGCAAATTATTTGTTTATGACAAGATGTTGGTATTTGAATATGTTTTAAGAATTCTGAGTTTAAAATATAAAATTGTATATACTTATTTGGGGCAATCAGTGACTTGTTGATTACCCTAATGTGTTGGTCACAATACCGGGTTTAATAACATTGAATTGACCAAACTCCAAACTACTTTTCTCTCCCAGGCAGCACTTACCCTATCCCAGCATTTACATCTAGCAAGTCGGTGAGCAGAAGGAGCAAACATACATGTACAGTAGTTACGCACGCTGTAGGAAACACGACCATGAGTGACTGAGATCACAAATCCACGCGAAAATGTGTAACTTAATTATGTAAGAAATTTTAAAATAGAATTATATGATATTAGAATATTTGATTTACCTTTTTTATTTTTCTCTGTTTTTAGTCATAACTAATTAGTGGTGCTCTTTATTTTTTCGGTTTTAAGCACATGGTTTGTTACTCCTCTGGCAGGGAGATAGACTGATATATATACAGTCCCCTTTGTACCTTTTTCTTTCAATGAGAATACAATCTGAATATTTAGATACAATGTGTGATATCATTCTCTGCAACTAATATATGATTTTAGAATATCGAAGGATTTAGATTTACTTGTTTTTGTTTGAAGACATGATTTTTGATTTCTTGAAGACTTTCTTGCTTCTCATTTACTTTTGCAAAGTTTGAAAGACTAGGATTAGGGTTGGCAAAATGGGTCAACCCGGCCTGACCCAACCCGCATTCAACCCCAAAAAAATGAGCCGGAATAGGGTTGGCTCGAAAAAACGAGCCAAAAAATTCAACCCAACCCGACCCGACTCGAGTCGGGTCAGGGTTGGCTCGCGGGTTTGTTTAAAAACATGACTCGTGGATTGGCTTGAAAAAATAGCTCGCAAGTTAGCTCGAAAATTGACTCGTGGGTTGGCTCCAAAATTGCTCGCGGGTTGGCTCGTTTTCAACCTATTTAAGTGGCTTCCATTAGCTTAAACAAATAGTTACAAAATGAGAAATAAAAGAAAAATATTTTAGTTTCGAATTTTCTTCACAACAAATTTGCATTAACATCAAGAAACAATCAGAATTGCTTCCAAGTGGGTAAGATATTTGAACCAAACAGAGCCAGCACAGCCTAACAATAAAAAAAAACAGGGATGTGAGAAGATTAGGGACTTAGGTTTAGAGAAGGAAGAAAAATGATGACAACATGTGTGAGTTTTGTCCATTTATGTATATTATATTTTGTATTTTTTTATTAAAAAAAAACTCAACCCGCGAGATGGCTTGTTTGACCCCCGAGTTGGCCTACTTTTTCACGAGCTGACTCGGGTCGGGTTGGCAGCTCATTTTTGTCAACCCAACCCGGCTCAGTTTTGGCGGATTACGAGCTAACCCGACGAGTTGACTCGTTTTTGCCAACCCTAATTAGGATCTTCCTATGCAATTCACACCACTTCCTGATCACAGCCGTTGATGGGGTAAGGTTTGGAGTAATAGTTTTCCAACACAATATGAATGTAAGGGGACCTAACCTAATTTATTAACTCTAATCCCTTTCTCATCATGGGCTTACGAGTTAGGTCTACATTGTTACTCACACTAATCAATTTACAAATATCTAAATCCCTAAATCCAAACAAAAGGATCACTTAATTAAATTGACTTTATAATGCTTACTTATATGGATCATGACTTGGTCCGATTTTATAAAAATAAAAAAATTACAATTGATTGAAGTTCATAATTATAAAAATTCTAACAAATTATCCCTTGCAATTCTGTAAATGTATTTCTCACTCCATAATCAAATACAGTCAAATTAAATACTGTCAAATTTAGTCATTTAAAATCTTAAATACAATATTGCAATATGTTTAAAATTATAGCATTATTGAAAATCATAACAAAATTAGTTTTTCGTTCTTTTAAATGTTAATTTCATTTGTCAAGTAAAATGTAAGTTATACGTGATTAAAGCCTTACTCTATCTATATTTATATTATTCTAATAATGTTATCTCAGTGAATCCTTAATATGACAAATGACAAATGTGAATAAGATCGGAAGAGTATTGGTTAGTTGCTGAGTCATGGACTGTCTACGGAAGAAAACAAAGATAAATAAATACTTTATCCACCGTTCAATATAGCAATCATCAAGTGCAAAAATAGTCACACTAGTTATCGAGATTTCGTGTGATGCATGTTCCACGAGAGAAGGCCTGAAATCGAAGAAAGTTGTTTTAATTAATTAATTTCAACCACAAATGCATGCAGATATATATGCTTAAGAAACCCAAAGAGGAAACAAACGCCGTGGCAGCTAGATCAAAAAATAATAGTAAACTATCCTCCAAGTGTATTAGAATTCAATGAATTTGCTTCTTTTTAATTGCTTAAAATTAATCAACACGCTTCGAGTACCCCACTTGTTAGCGAGGCCCGTGTGCGAGTTCCATATAGACGACACGGGAGGGATTTCCTGCCTTGTGTCTGGCCGAATTTTGCATCCCAGGTGTTGACCTCTCCGCAAAGGAACGGTTTTCTAATATTCCCAAATAAATTTATCCATCAATTAACATATAATGCGAGTCAATCATATAATCATTATGCGAAGAATTTTGAGGTGGAATACGAGGCACGGGACGTGTAACAGGTAAACCAAACTTAAAACACACCATTACATAGGTAAAAATTAATACTCAACGCACGAAGAGTAACTTCCATTTATTTTAAAGGAAAATGATATTGTAACAATTAAGTTGTGTTATTATTATGTTAATACCAATTAATCTCACTGTTAGATCGATTATGTTGATCCAACAGTTATATTTATTTCTATCTTTGTATGGTAATGATTTTCTAAATTTAATACTTTATATTTATTTCCAACTTTGTATGGTTATGATTTCTCATATTTAATGCTTTCACTTTAAATATGGAGAATCATAACCATACAAAGATGAAAATAGATATAATCGTTGGATCAACATAATCGATCTAACGGTGAGATTGATTGGTAGTAACATGATGGTAACACAACTTAGTTGTTATAGTATCCTACCCCTATTTTAAATTATATAATTTGACTGGTCTTTTTTATTTATTTTTATTCCCTCCAAATTCTGGTCTAGAAAAAGCAGTGGAAAGAGTCACTTCCCTCGAAGACTATGTGGGCTTAAGAATTACGAGAGCCGTCCGATTTGGGTTTCGTGACGTGGGGGAAGATTTGAGCAGTGATGGAGACGTCCGTGAAGAAGAAATAAGCGACATATAGATGCATGTTGAGTGTATGCACATTGCATACTTGCACAGTATTAATTTTCCACAATGGGTAGATTGCTTCATAGACATTAAAAATCAGAATAAAATTATTTAATTACGGGGAGGGTCAGAGAAAGTACCACCGGGTTTTACGGAGCAAGGACGAATAAGCAAAAGCTGATGATATGACACGTGGAAGAATGGCGTCCGTTGGATGGTCAAAGCACGACTGTGATTCATTCACTCATTCCGGCCGAGATTTATTGAAACTGGAAGAGAACTGTAGTGAAGTGGCCAGCGATAGATTTTTATGTTCCCCCAGTCACTCTCTCTTCCTCTCTGTCACACACAGACACACACTTAGATGACAATAACACACTCTCTGAGTATGGCACAACAACGCACCATAGCAACAAAGCAAGTCTGAATTTCTCATCTGTAGAATACAGTCTAAACTCCAAAGTCTAAGTGAGAGAGAGAGAGAGAGAGCTGGATTGATGAGTGATGACCATAATTCATAAATGAGACTTATACAGTAGAGTGGATGGGTGCAGTTACCATGGCGGCGTAGCAGAGGCTCTAATTCCGTGCCATAATTGCTTAGAGGGAATTGAAGAGAATTCAGCAACATCAACTCAACATCCTGTCTTCTTTAGTTATTTTATTCATAGTTTTCTTTTAATTTTCTACTCTCTTTTTTTTCCTTTTTTTGGTTGAGAAACAGTTCTCCTCAAAAGCTGCAAAAAAACAAAACCCGTCCAGAAGATCGACGCCCCCACACAACACAACACAACACAGTGACAGAGCGAGAGTCAACAAGACCCACCACCACAAAAAAAGAAAAAGAAAAAAGAAATAAAGAAAGATCGGTTGGGTCAAAATTATTAAGCGAACCTATTAGTGTTACACTCTGCAAACCGACCCTTTGCTCGCACTAACCCAAAAATTTAGAGCTATAGGCCGATCTTTAGTAAAATATTTCAAGATTCGCGAAGGTTCTGTTATGGATATTACATCAGAATTGGGGATTATTGTTTCAGCTTTTGGGTGCAACAAATGGCTGGGTTCATCTCTCTAGGTGGAAGGGGAGGCCCACAAAACAAGGAAGGAGAAGGAGAAAAAGAAGATAATATCAACAATAGCCTATTCTTGTTCAGGAACGAGGAGATCTACAACAAGGGGCTCGAGATATGGCCGCAGTCATATCACCCACACGAAAACTCCAACTACTACTCGTTTGGGGTGGGTCCTAGTCGCAGGAACTCCTCCTCCAACGTTAACGTTAACGTTAACGTTAACGACGACGACGTTTCCTTCGGTGTCTCTGATGAGTCTACGAGGTTTGGATTAACGGTCATGAGGTCTGGAAGTGGCATCAACTGTCAGGACTGTGGGAACCAAGCTAAGAAAGACTGTTCACATCTCAGATGCAGAACTTGCTGTAAAAGTCGAGGGTTTCAGTGTCGTACACACGTCAAGAGCACTTGGGTTCCCGCAGCCAAACGCCGTGAACGACAGCAACAACTCGCTGCGTTGCAGCACCAACAACAATTGCATAGAGACAATCAAGGTGCGGCCTCTCTTGCCTGCGCTCCACCACCCATCACTAACACAGGTAAATTAAAGTTTATACAGTATCATATATATTACAATACTCTTCTAATTGAATTTTGGTCTCAAATCCTTCTTCATATGTAATATTTTCAAGTGCATAACTTTTTAAGTACTGTAAGATATTGCTAAAGAAAGATGCAATGAGATCTTGAGGAATTATAGTCAACTATATGAGAATGACTATACCTAACTAGTCCATATCATTTGACTGTGAAAATGAAACCCCACTCCATAGTCACCCATCACACCTTGTTCTTGTTTTATCTGTCCCTCTCTTTCTTCTTTTCCATAATATTCCATCACTGTTTTTAAGTAAAACTGACGCAAGAAATAATTATTATATATGTTCCATGTGAGACGCTGGTTAGACTTATTGCAATTGGTTCTTTTTCTTTAATTTTTTCCTGCAATAACGTAAAAACTAGTTTTCATGAATGATAATTCCTTGATTTGATTTGTTGATTGTTACTAATTAGGGTTGGAGCTGAGACAATTCCCACCCGAAGTGAACTCTTCAGCGGTGTTTCGGTGTGTGAGAGTTAACGCAGTGGACACTCATGATGAGCAGTGGGCATATCAAACAGCTGTCAACATCGGAGGGCATGTTTTCAAGGGAATTCTCTATGATCAAGGAGCCGAAGCTCCTTACATTAGTACAGGCACAAATGCCGAGGGTTCCTCCGGTGAAGGTGAAGCTCAACAACTTAGTCTCATAACCGCTGCAACAACCAGCGGGAACCCATTTGACCCTACACTTTACTCCGCTCCGCTGAATGCTTTCATGGCTGGTACGCAATTCTTCCCACCCCCAAGACCCTAAAGACGTGTCTCTCTATCTATGAAAAATAGTTGAAACCAAGTCTTGTTTCTTCCTTTTCTTTTTCTTTTTTGTTGTTGACTCTTGTTGGAATTATATATAGATTATATCCATCTTAACAACATCTGAAGTAGTAGCTAGAAGGAAAAGTAGTCAAGAATTAAAAAAAAAAAAAAAAAAAAAATTGATTATGACAATGATTCTGCCTCATGAAATTAAAGTCGCCGGGGATGTTTCGTTTTGTGTTATCCGAATGTCAATTCAGATTTTCATGGTTATTTTAATTTTATCGGTAAACTGACTTTTCAACTTCTGGAGCACATACATTTTGATTTTGCTGTGAGTGTGTTTTCCTGGCGCAGACAGCATTTGGATACGTGTGCATTATCATGTTAAGTTTTGTTATGCGCTGGGTGATTTGATTTTCTTTATAGTATTTTTCTTTTCCTGGGTTATTGTAGAGTGAGCTTTCTAGTTGGTGCTGAACTCGAAGCCGCTTTTTCCCGTTTATCCGTTTGCTTGCCAGATTAAAATAGAACGAAGGAGGTTTCGTGTTTGTTTAAGCATAGAATTTTAACTTAAAAGCTTTTTCTTTTCTTTTTTATAATTTTTAAAAGCTTTTTTATTTTATTTTTTTAGAAACAGGCTACGATGGTCCATCTTTTATTTGTTTCTCATGCATTGCCAATTTGCAACTCGGAGAGTCCCAAGCAGTCCAATCCAATCGCTAAAGTGAAACCAATGAATGGTTCACTTTCTATATGCCTTTTTCCTCCTCCTCCGATCGATCTAGTATAGCTGCATAATTGTATTACGTATAAATGGAGAATTACAACTAGCATTTACACCAACTACTTCTCTGAAAAACAATAAAATTTAGCCACTGGAATAGACATCCATGATCCGGGGATGTGACTTCCATATGCTTGAGTTGGAAAAGTCGTCTTCTTTGGTTCATAATGTTTAATGCTTCTAAAAGTATGTGCATGTGATGTATGTTTATGCATATAAGTGTATACTGCCCCCAGTGATATAGGTCAAGGTACATACGATATGATAGGGCAAATGATACTTTCATAGGCTGCTTGTTTTAGTGCATAAAGAAGAATCAGAAACTCCACAGAAAATTTCCCTAGTTTTGTGTAATAACTGGCCCATAACATGTGCTACACAAACCTCAACTGATTGAGACTTACCAGTTTCTTTCTCTTTCATCTATGATTTTATTTTGTATTTATAACATCTCTTTTTTTCTCATATTCCCCCTCCAATTTCTTTTTGATCATGTTTATATATAGAGAATGCGTTTAACAAAAAGTTGCATTGTTGCCTACCCTCTTCTCCCTTCATCCATATCTAGGAAATCAAATAAAATTGTTATTCTTCTGCTGAGATTTCGTGGACAATCTTCATGATTATATCAAGATCAACCGACGATTAAAGTTGACTGAATTTTATGCTTTTTGGAGGACACATCCAGACAGGGAATAGAAAAAAGAGTTGAATCTATAATTGTAGCTCAAGTCTAGTCACTTCTGTTGGCCACATGCAACAAGAGAGAAGAAAGAGAGAGAGAAGAAAACAAACAAAAGTTAGTCATAAAACCACCGTTCAATACTTTAGTTATGCTGCAAATTAAAGAATTGCATAAAACGATAGTGTTTGCTGGGCTAGGTCAAAGCTTAGAAGCATCACAATAAAATCGCTCAAAGCATGAGAATTAGTCTGAAAAAGGCAATGCTCAGATGCACGAATAAAGTAATTAAGATGAAATAATGTTGCACTAATTACAAAAACACTATTCAAATTACAGCAATATATTGTGTCCAATTATTAAAAAAAAAATTGTGTCCAAAATACTTTGTACACTAACAACTTAGACCATCTTTTTGAGATTTTTTTTTTTTTTTTAGAGAAACTCGTTTCCTAATTACTATGTCCTTTTTCTTTTTCCAGTGAGGTATAAATTAGATGTAGGAATCAATGAACTTTAAGCTAGCTGTTTTTTGAGATCAAGTTTTAATATGTTCTTCATTGAAAGATTTAAGATATAACAAGAATGCTCGCTATGCGTATTAGCTTTTCAGCATAAATGATACCCTTTTTTTGTACATATTATTGGAAATAGCTATTGAGACTTGAATTTAGAATCTCCATACAAATCCCAACGCATGTCAATTAATTGAGATAAGCCCAAATGGAATTGTACATGCCGTCATCTTGTAAGAACTGAGAAGCTTTTGAAGTTTTTTCAGCAGTCAGCACCATCCTTAGTTAAGAATATATACAGCACGTACGTTATTACAAGTAGAAATTTTGATGTCAACATACTTATTGCCATTATCATATATGTGATATGGATACAATTGTGAAGTGGTCTGTTATATAATTTTAACATAAATACTAAATAATGAGTTCGTTTTGCAGCAAAAAAAGAACTCCAAATAATAAACCAGGGCATGATTTGAAGTACAAATATTTGTTTGCAAATGGCCGCCGTGTGTGGAAAAGGCTTTGTTGGGAGAGTCTATATCCACTTCGGTGATTTCTCAACCTCGAGGGAATTAGTCTTCAACTATCGGCTGGAGGATACCCTCAGAGACATTCAAAAAAAAAAAAAATGATACCGCACATATTCGAATGCTTGATGATTGATGAACTCCAGATTTGGTGTGTTATAAAGTATTATCTTTCACTTGGAAACTATTCATTCTACACACGCTAGGGCAAGGACTTAGGAGTCTATTTGAGATTTTGTTAAGAAATAACAAAAAATAGGTAACTAAATATTCCATACTGAAACCAAACTCTTTTGGCACAGGTGATAAGGCGTCTGTACCCCTTAATAAGAGGTTTTGAATTCAAGTCCTGTGAATGAAAAAAAAGATTTGGGAGAAGTGCCTCTAAAAGAATCCGATAGTATTTAACGGGGATTAGTTTTCAATTACGGCTGGAGAATACTCTTAAGATTATTCAAATAAATAAATACTCCCGACTATGCATTGCGAATTATAATATTTAGCTAGGTGAAGAACGATCAATTCTTGAATTTAATTGTATGGGATAAGGGTTATGTTGGAGTTATTAAATAACAACAACCAGGGAGGGGGAGTAATAAAGTTTGTAGTCACATTGAGTCATGAATTGTCTCGCTGCCTTCCAATGAAGTGAAATAAACATGTTTTCATACCATGTAATATTTGGCATATCTTTCCTCTACAAAACGGCTATGCTCGATTGCTTGATTTGGGAAGGGAATGGGAGGCTAATTAAAATGCAGCAAAACAACTTGGTTGAGATTCAATATCAAAATTTTCGAAGTTTAAAGAATTCTGCGACACTTGCACTAAGACTATTGGGTAAATTAAAAAACTGTTTGACTATTACTGTTATAGTGCTATGCTTTCTTGGTATCAACAAATATCTGATACCACACTCCTCTCAGTATCTGGGTATCTTGTGAAAGTGACATTGAAAATTTAATTTACCCATGTTTGATATAATGTTTGTAAAAAATTTTCCGACAAAATTAAATTCCAGGATTTATATTTATGAATAAAAATTATATCTTAAAATACCATCAAATAAGTGATATTTTGAGAATTTCATGTGATGAGAATATTTGATAATTTTTTTGGACATAATTAACTTCAATCCATATTCCGATCAATATTTTACAATCAACCAAACATAACATAAAAAAAATTAACGCAAAATTCTCGTGAATATTTTGGCATACCTAACAACTTTTTAGTAACATTCCCTATAAACTCACTTTTCTATCATATTCTCCAGAATCGTGATTTTCGAATATAAAAAAAAATCTCCTCTATCAAACGCTCCCTAATAGTAAAATGATAAATACTTCTGGAATTGCGAGGGGGACAGGAGATATGTTACACCAATATCGACATGAAACACGATACAACACTCCGACATCTTAATTGTAAAAATATTAGATTCAACACGATGTTATGTAAGGCGGGTCCAGGGGTAGCCTGTGGCGGGGACCACCACCAATGGGCTAAGATAGTCGAAATACACTATGTGAAACCCAACATTGATATGTTCTCCCTCAACCAAGTACCCCAGGGTTCAAGTACTCATCACACTTGAATATCCCAACATGTTAGGATACATTTTGATATTAAATAATATTTTTAATTTATGTAGCGTATATTATATTTAATATTTAATAATTTAACAAAAAAATGAAATTAAACTTATAATACCAATCAATTTTGTAATTAAAAAATATAAGATATCACAAATACTTATATTAAAATCAAGAAAATAGTAATCGTAATCCAACGAATTTAATAATTGAAACTAAAAACATAATACAACGCAACCTTTGAACTTTTTGAGTCTAAATGTCAGAAAATATTGAAGTGTCAGGATACATCAAATTTTTTGAAACAGGGACGAGGAAAATAGGAACGAGGGCAGATATAGTCGATTGTACATAGTTTTTGTTTCTCGTAATCCAACTTGTGACCTTCTCCTCAAGACTTACCCTCAGCAGTAACATATAGTATTTAAAGAGAGTTAATTTTATTTAATTTTTAATATAATATAAATACCAGATAAAAATTATTTTAAAGAATAATACAAAACGAAAATTTTATTTTTTGTTAAATTGGTTGACAACTTTTGTTCGTAAACAAAAAACAATAATATTTGTGTATAGCATAAATTTTTTAATTCTTTAGTTATCGAATATTTAATCACTCTAAAGTATTTTATAACTCAATTAAATATGACCATGTTAATTATAAAAAAAATGACCATATTATATTATGAATTTTAATATAGATAAATTACAAAACTCCTAAAATAAAAAATAAAAAAATTAAGGGAAATACTTTTCATCTTACAATGCTCCTTGCTCATGAAATTTTGGATGCTCCCCTCTCTCAAAATGGGGGAGACAAAATGAAAAAAAAAGAAAGAAATGAAAGGGACAAAAATGTAAGAAAACTTTTTTTCATGTGAGATGGACTACCAAATAATTAAGTGGATCTGGATCACTTAATTATTTTTCTAGCTATAGGATGGAAGTTATGCTTCCTGCTTAGACATTAATAAATGAGGCATTTAAAATAAAAAGAAAAGTTAAAAAGAAAAGCTTATGCAAAGTCTCATGTATGTCCAAGAAAGAGGAATAGTGTTGCTGCACCCTAAGAAACTAAATCCCTTAAATTAATATCTAACAGTTGATTTATCATTAAATAATTAAAATTCATGCATAACATAATTAGACATGAGACAAAGACAACTGTTTTGGGCCGAAAGTCATACCAGCATCAACATGGAACATGAAACATCAAATCAACCGATCGCAAACACTGCTGTGACTATTTAGCTGCAATCTGTAGATACCACTCAAATCTTTATCATAGAATGTAGAGAATAGAGATAGTTTTACTTCAATCGGTGGCTGATATTACGTGATACTTGTGAGTTGTGACCTTCTTAATGAGAGGCTCATCGATGGCACATAATCTTCTTAGTGCTCCATGGACAAATTTGGGGGTTTTGAATCTACGGGTCAATATGTGAAAAAAATAAGTACCCACATGTATTTGATGAACACGTGGCAAGTACCCACATGTATTTTTATAGGTGGATATGTAGTACAATTAGGCTATGGAGGAAAATTACCGACAATCAGAGAGTTAGTAGCAAATGACGATCTAGTCCTCGGCAATTAGAGTGCTCCCTGAGTTACATTATGGATCTAAGATATTGGCCCATAACACAAAGGATCTCTATTTTGTCCTTATTGTCATTGTGGACCCCAATTGACACGTAAAGTATACATCCAAAAACCAGAACACAGCCCATAAATGTCTCTTTCCACCAAGAACTCCTCTTATGTAAAGTGATTAGGGATGGTAAAATCGGAAAACTCAAATCGTCATGGTCCAACTCATTTGTAACTCGAAAAAAATAAACTAAATTAAAATTAATACAAAAAAAAATGAGTCAGAAAATTCAACTTAAACCGAACTAAGTTAGGGTTGGGTCGCGAATTAACTCAAAAAATAGAGAAAAAAAAGTCTAAAAAAATGATAATTGAAGTAAAATATTAAATCTTAAAAAATAAACATGATATAAGATAATTAAAATTGCTAAACATAAACTTACATAAAAAAAAAGGTTTTTACTTTCTTTGAAAAACCTCCTTATTATTCTTTTTTATTTTTTAATAAAAAAAATAACTCGTGAGCTGACCAGTTTGACTTGTCCGTTGGCTCAATTTTTTTCTAGCTGGCTCGAGTCAGGTTAACTTGGGTTATCAGCTCATTTTTGTCAATCCAACTCGACTCATTTTATGTGAATTACAAGCAAATTCGATAGGTTGGTTCATTTTTCTCATCCCTAAAAGTGATGATGCTCACCTTAAACGTTTATACAATCTTCCCTCCATACTTCACATATTAACTTTAGTACCTTTGTTTTAAAAAATTTATATTCTCTTTAATAGCAAAAACTTATCTAAATATATTTTGTTGAAGGATATTGTAACAAACATTTAGTGTTATTATCAATATTACTACCAATCAATTTTACTATTAGATCGATTATGTTGATCCAACAATTATATTTATTTCTATCTTTGTATGGTTATAATTTTCTACGTTTAATACTTTATATTTATTTTCACCTTAGTATGATTATGATTTCACATATTTAAATATGGAGAATCATAATCATACAAAAATGAAAATAAATATAACTGTTAGATCAATATAATCAGTCTAACGGTGAAATTAATTGGTAGTAACATTGATAGTAACACTAATTGGTTGTTATAATATCCTACTCCATATATTTTTACAAAAACTCTTATTATAAAAGAATTTTTTTTGTTATAATAAATAAAAAAAGCAAAACCTAAAAGCCCTCAACATGAGCTTTTTTTAAGATATATATTACCTATTAAGAGGTCTCATTTTTCAGTTTCACACTTATTCTAAATTTATATTTATCAATTTTATTTTGTACCCTAAATAATCCACCCTAATAATAAAATATTTCATCTTTCCTAATTTAAAACTCTTAGAATAATTTTATATAATCACCGAACAATTTTTATATTTAGTTTAAAAGTAGCTTTTAGGTTAAATTTTTTTTATCAAATAGGCTCTTAGGTGGCGTATACAGTCCGTTCATTGAGCTAGGGCCAACAAAAATTTAGGTAGGACCTAACACTAAATTTTATCCAGAAACTTAGCCACGTTAAAACTATGGCTAGTTTTCGAATTTTAACCCGGGCCAAGGGCTCACTCTACCCCTAAGTGGCTCCGCCACTGCTTTAGTGTTAGAATGTCTTGCGAGTTATATTCATATTTAATTATACAAATATAATTATTTCATATCGATATAAGTTATATTTTTAATATTCATCATCGATCTCACTTATATATGTTGGTTCTAATTTATTAGTTATTGGAGCCATTGAATATAAATGATTAATGACTAAAAATGAATGTAAACTTATTATTATTTTGTGTAATTTGATCTTTCCTCTTAATTATATTATATGATATTTTATTTAGAAATGATGATTTATGTTTGATCATTTTGTGTTTTCTATTCATAATATGAAAAACAATTATTTTATATTTTTTAATCATTAGATTGCTATAGAAAACTATAGGATTCACTTTTTTAATCTATTTATTTATTTGTTTAAAATATTTTTCTCTTAATTTTAGATAAAGTCTTTCAATATTTTTTTTAGTTATTAAAAGCTATGATCATCTTTTTTAATTCAATTTATAATAGAATATTATCTATTTGTTTGTCGTGTATAATTATTAATACACACAACTTTTATAATGATTTTTTTTCGTAAACACTTTTATAATCAATTTAACTAATCTATGAAATTCATATTTTTTATTTATTTTTAAAATTGTATATTAATAATTTAAAATTTTTAAATATATAAATTATAAATATATTCCTTATTTTGGTTTAATTTTGTTGAAATAAAACTCTTACTATTGAAGTCATTACAATTGGTCTAATGACAAGAGATTTGAGTAGTTTGTATCAGGTGTGTGTTTAATTCCTACCGATATATCCAAAAACTATTATTATTCATCACATGCGCGCGTGAGCGTTAGGACGAAAAGGAAGCATTATAAACCGCGGGATGGAAGTAGAGGTAAGATTTGATTTAGTGCGGTGATTGCAAACGAACTCTTGTTTCTATAAAGCAAGAGCATATTCACATCACAGGCATTCATTTAGATGGGGAATGAAGGTTGTTTTCTTCCCACGATGGACCTGCTACGATCGGAGCCTATGCAACTCGTTCAATTGATTATTCCAATCGAATCGGCTCATCGATCCATCTCTTACCTTGGCGATCTCGGTCTCTTCCAATTCAAAGATGTATGCCTCCTTTTCAATTCTCATTTCTCTCGTCTTCGATTCTTTTACTCTGAACATGGCATTGCTCTGACTCACATGATGTTTTGATTTCTTCATCTATCTGAATGTTATTTATTTCCTACATTGATAATTCTTGTTTAAATCAATTCTCCAGCTTAATGCAAAAAAAAGCCCATTCCAACGGACTTATGCTTCTCAGGTACCTATCACATCTCTGTCTGCATAGTTACGCTTATGTTGCATCACAAAATAAATAATAATAAATAAATAAAAGAACCTATGCGCCTGTGCTTTGTGTGTGTGTCCTTGATAATAATTTCTGGTGTTCATGAATTATGTTTGTGTGCATGGCGTTATTAAGACTTAACATTTTAGTTGTTACGCATACACAGGTACACACATAGTGCATCCATTACATGCTGTCGTTATTCTGCTTACAGTTTTCGGTTTGCTTTAAACTATTTTTATGATTCACATTCTTGTTGGAAGCAAATACGGATTTCTGGATTTTTTTTTATTTATTTGTTATTTTATTTTTTTAATTTCAGGACATTTTAGATCTTTAATGTTCTGTGCATGTGAACGTAGGATGAGAATTTGATATATATTGTGTTGACAACTTAAGCATAGGAGGGAACTCCTTCAACCAAATATAATTAGGTGATCTTAATTGGCACAAGCACAATGAGATCGTTTTACCTTTTTATGGCCAGAGGTATTGGTGAGGCTAAGTGGCAATTAGTGTCTTTGCTTTTAGGCATCTTTGTGTGGGAATTCAAGTGTGACTGATACAAAGTCTCACGCGGAAAAGGAAGGAAGGGGCTAAACATAACAAATATAAATAAAAAATCTATAAATTCAATGTTTAAGTTTTTTGGTTAAGATGTGGTATCGGATCCCTTGTTCTGAGTTTATCGTTCAAACTCGTTTGATGGGTTACCGAGTATTTGAAGATAGTGGTTGGTGTTCAGGTTTGTAGGTCTACCCAAACCCATTACTACTTGAAGAAGTTTCAGCTTGAGGAGATCCATAAACCTAATACATTAAGGTTTTGAGTTAAGATGAGATATTGGATCTCTCATTGGTTTTGGGTTAAGACGTGGTATTGGATCCCTCATTGTTGTGGGTTTGTCACTCAGACACATAGACACATTTAAATGTATGGATGATAGTCTCCCCTAATTGGACTCCCGCCCAACACTTTGAGCTCCGGGATCAAATTAGGTATTTATATGCGATAGTGAACATGTCAGTGTTACTAAGTAATTCCATCTTTTGGTGCTCCTCGTATTCTCAACAGTGCCAAAAATTCGTACCGGCGTATTCTATTATGTCACATTTTATAGAATTGATTTATTTACTAGACTGAAAAACTAACCATTTTACCATTTAGATTAAAAGATGTGGGGAGATGGCACGTACGCTGCGATTATTTAAGGAACAAATGACGAAGGCAGGTGTATCACCCTCAGCGCGGTCAACAAGAGACAGTGTTGTTGATCTGGAAAATTTGGAGGTTGCTATGTGCTCTGATATTTTTATCATCCGTTATTCTGTAAGAATTCAGTACCATGTAATGAAATTTTCTTCATGGCTAGATTAAACTTGCAGAACTTGAAGCCGAGCTACTCGAGATTAATGCAAATAATGAGAAGTTGCAACACACTTACAACGAGCTGTTGGAGTATAAGCTTGTTCTAGAGAAGGTATGGTTTGCTAAGTTCACCATTGCCACAATTGCCATCAATACATCTGATACATTGGTTAACTTCTCTGTTGATCTTTTTTATGTTTAAATAAAATTGTGTATTCATTTTATTATTTACACTGTATACATATTGTTAGTAAAGATGCAAACTTATTCTTAGACTTGTGTCATTTATGTGATCATATAGCTTGGTCTATTCTTTTCTTCCTTGGTTGTATAAGGTTGCTGCAGTTAAAGTGGTAATTCCTTTTTTGTTTTATCATTTCAGGTTAGTGAGTTTTTCTCTTCAGCACAAAATAGTGCTGTAGCTCACCAGAGAGAGCTTGAAGTTAAGACAATTGTTGAAGGGTCTATTGACAGCCCATTGTTACTGGAACAAGTACACGCTGCAGCTTTGTAATTTCTGTTTATTACTTAACAGTTTTGTTGTATTTTTCCTGTTGATGAGGCTTAGCAAATTTATGTTCTGCAGGAGACGCCAACACCGTTAAAGCAGATTAAGCTGGGATTTATCAGTGGTCTTGTTCCTAGAGAAAAATCAATTCCTTTTGAAAGAATTTTATTTCGTGCTACTAGAGGAAATGTGTTTCTCAAGCAAGATGCGGTTGAACATCCTGTTCTTGATCCTTTGTCAGGAGAGAAGGTTATTCTAAAATCTTAAATTTAAATCTTTAATCTCTTAACTTCAGATATATGTATGCACACTAGATCACCATGCTTGCTCCTTTTATTATTTGTCACTAGAAAGCTGTAAATTTTCAGAGATTAAAGAAGATGCTGCTTTGACATATTTTTATGTGAAATTATTTTTCTGATTCTGGCAATTTACTCTTCTATTGTTATCGGTCACTTCTACTTTTTAATCTTTTTGGTTAATAAACGCATAACCCCCCTTTTTACAGGTTCATAAAAATGTATTTGTTGTCTTTTATTCTGGAGAGCGAGTTAAAAGTAAAATTCTGAAAATATGTGATGCTTTTGGAGCAAATCGTTATCCTTTCTCAGATGACTTGGGTAAACAATTTCAGATGATAGCAGAGGTACACGTAATTTTCATTTAGGTTTCTGCTTAGTTTTCAATTGTTATTAACTAAATGCTACAGACTGCTGCCTCTTGAGTATTTCTTGTTAAATACCAATAAGAACTGCATATTTTTATTTTATTTTGTTTTTGGTAAATAAGAGCTTCATACTTACTATGTAGTTTCGGCATTTCAGATGAATGCTTTACATCTTTAATCCTCTTTCTTTTTTCTGTAAAGCCAGTTCAGTTTTGTTTTCCTGGTAACATTTTCTTGTTTTTTGTTTTATTATTATCCAAGTTCAACAGTGTTTACGCAATGGCTTAAGTAAGCCATTTTTTCCAACAGAAAAAGTTCACTTAATCTATTTATATGTGTAGTTCCTGCTTCATTTCCAAACAACATTCTGTGACTCAAAAGGAAAATGTTTCTATATTACGTGGTGAATGAAAAAACATGTATGAAGGCCAGAAGACTAGGATAAAGTTGACTAGCTTAATTGTAGTGATTACAAAAACATTGAATCAATCCCATGTTTTGCTAAAAAATGATATTCATCATATTCAAGATTCTGGATCATATGTTGTGAATGAGCTTCTTCCAAGTTCCCAAGGCCTACTTTACCCATGTTAGCTGTTCTTCATAGTTTGATTGTGGATAAGCCACATAAAATAATTATTGCAGATTATGAATTTGCTAGGTGTCTGGAAAACTTTCAGAATTGAAGACTACAATTGATGTAGGATTGGTTCACAGGAGCACTCTGTTGCAGACAATTGGATATCATTATGAGCAGTGGAGCCTCCTGGTTTGTTTGACAGTTTTGATTTAGTATTTCTAAGGATTATTGCTAAAAGACATGCATAGTATTTATATAATATATGTTTCTCTTTTTAGTTTTGCTTCTAAGCCTTTGCAATTAATTTTCATTCCGACGCTGACATTTCCTTTCTTAAATTTTAATTGATAGTTGAAGAAGGAAAAATCCATTTATCACACACTAAACATGCTTAGCATTAATGTGACAAAGAAATGTCTCCTTGCAGAAGGCTGGTGTCCTGTTTTTGCAACAAATCAGGTTTGTCCTTGAACTGTGAATTTGATTTCTGATACGATGTGATTAAATCTATATGAATTGCAATTTTTTACTGACTGTCATGGCTAACTAATTTGAATTCAATACTTGGCAGATTCAGAAAGTATTGCAGCGGGCAACAATGGACTGTATGTCTCAAGTTGGGGCGATATTTCAGGTTTTACAGACGAAGGAATCACCGCCTACCTATTTTTGCACTAACAAGTTTACTTCTTCCTTTCAAGAGATTGTAGATGCCTATGGGTAAGTCACAGAGCTTCGCATGTTCATTCCAAAATTTAGCATTTTTTTTTCTAAAAAAAGAAACTCCCGTAATTTTGATCAAACTTCCATTTTTAATCATAAAAATTCACGCCTGAAGATTTAATCCAACGTGATGATGCATGGTATATGTGTCCTGTTCTCAGTTTAACTTTTAATTTTTCATGTGAAGTTGGAATATATTATAGCTGCGAATGACTAAAGAAAATGAAAATAACTTGTATTACATTTATCTTAACTTGTGTCTATTATAATTGTTAACCCTTGAACACCTTTTTATCTTAATGAAAAAAATATAAGAATTGACGAGTACAAAGCGCCGATCAATACGTTAATAATAATAAAAATGATATTGAATAGAAAATCGAATAATGTTTTTATATTGTATAATTTAATAATACAATATATTTTTTTATTCCTTGTGATAGGGATAACTTTATTGCTCTTATAATCTTATCCGATTTGATCACACGGAAATAAATAAATAAAGGGTTCGTTTTTTCTATAGTTACTGCAGATAAGTTATCTGCAGTAAGTCCAATACGATGTCGTTTTAGGACGAAAATTATGTTGTTTTTGAAATTTTAATTTATTTCAGGATTATAATAGTCTTTATATTTATAATATTTTAAGATTTCAATACCAAAATGACATCATTTTGGGAATAAATGCAGATAACTTATCTGCATATTAACTGCAGAAACATTTTTCCCATAAATAAATACATGATTCATTCTATGGTTATCTAAAACTTTTTATTCTTATCTTGATAGTAAGGTTCTTTTCATATATTTTGCATCAAATAACATTTAAATTTTAAACATTCTTTACTAATTTGCTCAACTTTTATAAAATGAATATATCTTAATTTTTCACCCTTTTGTCCAAGTTATATAATTTATTTTTGGCTTTAATACTTCTTATGTTGCTGGAAGGAAATTTTTTTTGCAACAACTCATTATACCTATGTATTAGGGGTAATACATAGTTATAATATAAAAACTGCTTTTTTTTTCTCCTTAGACTATGTACTACGGGTAATTTTCCAGAGGTTGGTTTAATTGGTGCTGGGCCCCATAAGTCACTGTACATTAGTGTAAAAGGAGAGTGATACACTGTTGTGGATGGAAGAGAGGGGAGTCTGTGAGCTTTGCCAATACAACATGATGAACATAAATCAAGCTCAAATTTATTATTGCATTGTATCTTACATATATTAAGTCCATTTCTGAGAGTTACATCGTGTCGATGTCCAAGGTGACAATGCTACAAGGAATAGCAAAATCTGAAATGATATTAGCTTGAGTACATGAACTTGACTTTACAATATTGCAATTTGACATAGACAATATATTTGAAGTTTGAACAACATTACAACTAGACACCAGAGGAGATGACTGAGACCGAGCAGATGCAGAAGGAAAAACTATGTTTGAGAAGCAATAGAGCCCATCCTGACCAAGTGTGCCTTCTAAGAGAATTTTATGAGACCTCTGCGATTTGACAAAACATTTAGTGGGGTGAAATTCAAAGAAAACATTATTATCACAGGCAAAAGCACTAACATTTAACAAGTTCTTCATAATCGAAGGGACATGAAGAAGATTTTTAAGTGATAACTCAGTTTTAGGATCTTTGGGTGACAAGAATTTTGAACTACCAACAGAACTAATGGACAATCCTTGACCATTGCCAATGAAGACTTGATCTTTACCAGATAATTGTTGACTTTGCAGCAGATTCATAGGATTGACTGTGATATGATGGCTCGCTCTTGAATCTTGGTACCATTCCAATGCTGGTTGAGTGCTAGGTATGGGTAGTATTCCAGATTGATGACTTTTTACCGTTGCTTGAGGAGCTGATGACATTCCTGGTTGACGAACATACTAATATGACCTTGGATACTGGTCCTGTTGAGCCTGATATTGTTCAACATATTGTCGTTGTTGTTGGTTATGATAGGACAATTGTTGTGGAGCTTCAAAGAACTGAGGAGACACATTTCCAGTGGGAAGAGCTAATGTAGCAACGAAATTCTCATCAAACCGGAACCAGCACGAGTGGACATCGTGTCCGTACTTGTAACACAGTTGACAGTATATGTTTGCATGAGCACCACGTCCTCTGCCTCTGTTAGAGCGTCCTCCACATCTTCCACGAGCTCTACTTGTACCATTGGAACGATCAGGAACGAGAGAATCAGAGCTCTAAGTCAACTGGTTCATGCGCTGTTTTTCGTTCGAAAAAACAGAGGTGAACAAAGTAACTGGTTTAGTGCATTTTTGCGTCGGTGCGAATGAAGGAATTATATTCCGAAGGTAATCCTTCGAGAATGTACTCGATGTGATCATCTTTGGAGACTGGATTTCGAATTGCCCTCAACGAATTGCACAACGATTTGATTCGTGAAAGATACTCAGAAACTGATTTCTCACCTTTCTTCATTAATCGAAGTTTAGATCTGAGTTGTCGAGTCTTTGATTTCGAAGTGAACATCGGCAACCCCAAAACGTCCACCGTGCCTTCACCAATAAAGTTGTGAGAAGCTCCGGTGTCGATCAACACCACCACTTTATGGCCTGGAACTTCCCCCAGAGCTTCAAGGACCGGTTAGAAGTGATCCCCACCACGCTTTGAACAATGGGTTGGAGGGCTTCGTTCTGTTTTCCATCTCCTCCTCCTTGCCAAACTCCTCCTCTGTCGGTTCCTCCATGCTTTCACCCAAAATCATGACATGCAACTGTGGATTCGGGCAAACATGACCCAAATTGAAGGGTCCATCACAACGGAAGCATAAATTACAATGTCGGCGATCATCTATCTCTTTTGGTGTCTGGCGACGAAAACGGCTTCCACGACGACCGTCCGTCACGTTTGCCATCGTTTATGTCTATTGATAAGTCCCTCCTTCCTCATTTGTCCCCCTTACATTTTGATTAGGGTTCGCGTTTGAGTTACTAGCAGCTGAGGATTGGGTTTGAGATTGTGGGTGTGATGGCTTGTTGGGCCGTAGCAACAGGCACATTTCCCGTCCACTTGGATCTAGCTTGGCCTCCCCGGTTTGTTAGTGCAGGCTTCCCTCCAAAGCTGCTACCATTAACAGGCCCAAACCCATTTCGTCCCAAATTCGTGTCCCGCGCAACATTGTTTCGCTTTATTCAACACATATAGCCAACAACATCATTCGTACAAGGTTGTCAGGTGAATGCAGGCGAAGCTCAACTCTTATTTTCGGTTTTTGCCCTGTCAGAAATGCGGCCTTCATCATCTCTTCGTCAGCGTGTCTCAATTGAGCCGACAACACTTCAAATTGCTTCCTGAATTCCGCCACAGTCCCAGATTGCTTCAACTCCATTAAAGCTTTATAGGTGTTTCTTGAAGGTGAGACATCGAAATGTTGTAAAATCGCTGCCCTGAACATTGCCCAATCAATCAATGGATTTCTTGGTTCCCATCACTGGAACCAACTTAGAGCTTCTCCCTCCAAATAAATCGAAGTTGTCTCCGCCTGTTTCTTTGGAGGTATTCGGTTTACGCGTAAATAACGTTCGACTCGAAAAATCCATCTGTAAGGGTCGTCACCGGTGAAATATGGAACTTCCACCCGACGCATCCTCTCTTCATCTCTCCAAGCAAATCCACTTGCAGTTACACCATTTCCCAGCTCTCTTTCTGGCCCACCGGTCCTCCGAACTCTTCCTGCACCACCTCCCCGGTTGTCCAACCGATTCAAGAACTCCATGAAAGCCTCCCTCAACTGTCGGACCTCCGCTTCCACTCCACCCAATCGGTTCTCCATTCCTTCTGACCTGCGCTCTATATCTTCAAGTCGATTCTCCATTCACGTTCGTACCATACAACGCTCATGGATCGTGAACGCTTTGATACTAAAATGTTGGTACCGGTAATTTAGCAGAAGAAATAACGAATTAAGAAAGAGAGATTATTGATTTCACTGAATAACAACTTCACTTTGATTAAAGGAAAAACATAGTCATATACATTAACAGTGAACACAACTCATAACAGCTAATGAAAGAGACACCTTCCTCCCAATCAACTACCCAATTGGAAGAGGAATTACAATGGACTCATAGACCTTTACAGCAACTGAGACTACCCCTGCCCAGTGTCATTACCAACACCTCATTACAACATTCTTCACCCATGTTCTCCTTCCACTAGCTAACTTAGGGCATGTTTGGTGCATAGTATAGTATAAGACCTGATAGTATAAAGCCTGATTGTATAAGACCTGATTAAATTTTAATACTATACAGTGTTTGGCATGACATTGTATAAGATAATGTATCGTATAAGATAATATTATCCAGTGTTTGATAATGCAATGTATAGTACCAGATAGGATAAAAATAAATATTTTTGACAAAAATACCCTTTAATAAAAGATTTATATAATTCTTTCAAACATGTCATATATATTAATTTTTATAAAAATCTATTAATCAGCATGTCCAAAAAATAAAATAGATTTTATTGAAATAAATTTTTTCAATATTAAATTAAAAAATGAATATGCACAATATATATCAAATATAAGACCTTGATTGCAACACTATTATTCCTCAACTCTAGGATACATCGATTTTGCTCACACCATTTATATCATTATCTATTTGAATACTTCAAGTTCTCAAGCAGCAAAGGCCAAAGAAAAAAAAATTGAAATAACCATAATACAATCCTTCACAGTTGGTATCTTGTGTGCTATTGTGATTACTGTACAATCTGCAAACTCAGTCCTAATAGTTTTCTGCAGAATCAAATCGGTTGCATTATCAATTGATGCAGTTGCTTCATTCAGCACCAATATCCTACTCCTCCTCAAAAGAGCACGCCCCAAACAGAATAACTGCCTTTGTCCCATGCTCTAGTTTGATCCATCTTCAACAACTGTGTAAAAATTTGTTACCAATCATTACTACTAACAGGAAAGAAATGTTTGATGCTTAGTTACAAATCTAACATGTACAAAACGGGGTGAAAAGGTGAAGCAAGAGTGAAGTGCAGATATAAAGCATAAAACCCATAAAAAATTCTTAAGAACAGGGCTACTATTGTTTGAAGTAGTAAAGTGTTGTCAGTATACCACAATAACACATAAAGACCCTGTCAAATATAGTTAAAATTTATTCTTTCTTTGATAGTCCCTTAAAAAGCAAGTCAGGAATTTGTTTAAATTTAGGGTTGGATGCAAAGGGAAATTATGGAAATAGATCAGGTAAGTCTATAGGAGAAAGGGTTTGTTTGAATGTACTAAAAAAAGGGGGCTTGTTTGAGAGGATTCCACATCCATGGATTTCCCTCTGCAATGGATTAGTCATAAAGCCACATTCATGCCTTTGCAAAGTCAAAACAAAAATAAAAGGAACAAATCTCATCCATCTAAGACAAGACTGTCTCTTCATAGTAGTGCAATAACAACATTGTAATTCATCAAACTAATTGAAAGAAAGACGAGATTACAGTTTCAGTTAACAATTTTTTTTAAAAAAATAATACAAAATCAGGAAAATTAATTCATCAAGGTCATTCAATGCATTCTCATTCCTATTGCCCCCAAAAAACACCAACCATTGAACCCTCACCTAAGACTGTCTCCTCATGCACTTCCTCAACTTTTGGTACTTGTGCTTGGTCACCTTCTTCTTCTTCTTCTACGCGCTATCAGCCCAGCTGGCTCGAGAATCTTCCAAATCTGCGTCCTCAACCTCAGGGAAGCAAAACCCGCTAGCAAAAATGGGTTTTGAAAAAAACCCAAAAGGGAAGCTAGGAAAGATCACGGTTGACCATGACGAAGACCCAGAAGGGAAGTGTTCCATTAATGGAATTGGGGTCGTGGGTCGGTGACATTCTCGATGAAGAGCAAAAATTGGATTGGGTGCTTGCAAGGGATTAAAGCCATTGATGAATCTTGTTGTGGGTGGTAGTGATTTTCTCAGTAGTTTCTGAAAAGTCGAAGCCATTGAAGAAGCAACTTTCCAAAGCAAGGGTTAGAATGGGGAAGAGATATGAGAAGGGTTTACACCTACTACATCGTTATCTTATCATGTCTAATCTCACCTCCTTAGACCATTAAGTTATACATCTTTTTGATGTATAAAGGGTTCATGCTGTATAAGCTTCTACTATACGATGGTCGCACCAAATAACTAAAAATGTCATAATGTATAGTATAAGCTTATATTATCATGCCTTATACGTCGCACCAAACAAACCCTTGTACTCCTGAATCTTCAATACCACTCACCTCAATATTCCCTTCTCCATTAATAGCCTGCCACATGTCTATATTAGTAACTAACTTTGGGTTGTCATTAGCTCCACTCCCATGGCTCTGCGCTGGTAAACTGTCATAGAGTTTGAGAGACCCATCATATACTCATAAAAATCTCTTTAGTAGATGAAAATTTTGTATCATGTTCGTAAAATTTTCATATTAATCCAACATTATTTTCTACTGTAATTATGCATTTTAAATTTAAGTTTTGAGGTTAAATTGGTTGCTTTATATGATATAGAGTCTCAGTGACTAAGTAGTTATGAGTTCGATATTCTATAATAAATAATTAAATACTGTAAAGTTTCTTAGTACATGTAGACAGTAGACGGGGGTATGATGTATTGTCCACTCCTCAAGTCTAATGAGTTCTTCTACGAGGGAGTGTGTTAAACAAACTTATCATCTTAAACTTTTGGGTTGAATTGATCTTTTAGAATAAAGTTTTGAAAAACGGTGTTGACTAGTGTAAGTGTGTCAAGTCTTGCACCAATGTCAAATGTAGGTTTTCAATTCCTACATAACCGAGAGTGATAGCATGCGGATTTTATGTAATTAAGATACATACTTGCTTTTAGTTCAATCTAATAATATCTAATATTGTTGAAGTTTTTGGGTCGCAATTATCATGTCACAAAAATCTAATAATTGAGACTTTCGAAGTTGTTTGTATCCTTACACTGAAGGACAGAATACTTTTCTTGCACTCTTTCTGCATCCCTTTAGTTTTAAGGCTTTATCGTACAACTTGTAACCGTGGATTTTACATTCTATTTCCACCGAGTTTCTTGGTTGCATCTTGATGAATTGATTGTCTGCCTAGAACTCAAATAAAATTGTTAATACTTGACAGAGTTTCCAAGTACCAGGAAGCAAATCCCGGTGTATACACAATCATCACGTTTCCATTCCTTTTTGCTGTAATGTTTGGTGACTGGGGGCATGGCATATGCTTATTACTGGCGGCTTTGTATTTCATAATAAGAGAGAAAAAGTTTTCTTGTCAGGTACTTAGCTCATGGGGTTTTGTGTTCAATCTGAATATTTTCTCCTTTTTTATGCCAGCATCGGTTTTGTTGATGACAGAAACTTGGAGACATATTAGAAATGGCTTTTGGTGGACGCTATATTATTATGATGATGGCACTCTTCTCAATCTACACGGGATTGATATACAATGAATTCTTCTCTGTTCCATTTGAACTATTTGGACCATCTGCCTATGCATGCCGTGATCCTTCATGCAGGTGGTTATGAATAAAATTTATTCGACATTAATTTTCTGTTATGCTAATTGGTCACATTATATATATGCCTAGTATTTATTATTACTTTTCAGGGATGCTTCTACAACAGGTTTAATAAAAGTGCGTGACACTTACCCATTTGGTCTGGATCCCAAATGGCATGGTACTCGGACTGAACTGCCATTTCTTAACTCTATGAAGATGAAGATGTCAATTCTACTGGGAGTATCACAGATGAATCTTGGAATCTTATTGAGTTACTATAATGCAAAATACTTTGGAAACAACATAAATATCTGGTAATAGCCAAAAACAGCATTAGTTGAATGTGGTCTGTTGTTTATCTTTGTAGTGTTCGCTGTTTGATTTACCGATGTTGCTTCAGGTACCAGTTTGTTCCCCAAATGATATTCTTAAACAGCCTGTTTGGCTACCTTTCACTCCTCATAGTTGTAAAATGGTGCACTGGATCACAGGCTGACCTGTATCATGTGATGATATACATGTTCCTAAGTCCAACTGATGATTTGGGTGAAAACCAGCTCTTTGGTGGCCAAAAATTCCTTCAAGTAAGAATTTTCAACTTTGATTTGGATACTTTTTTTTTTTTTTTTTTTTGTTTAGTGATATTGAACAGATGCCACATCTGAACTGGCCACTGTTTCTTTGCTTTAGCTTGCGTTACTACTGTTGGCACTTGTCGCAGTACCATGGATGTTGTTACCCAAGCCCTTTCTCCTGAAGAAGCAACATCAAGAAGTATACTCTAAACTATTATTTTGATTTATTTATTTATTCTTATTAAACACTATTCTAATTTTTATTACCATGCTTCCTCAGAGGCATCAAGGTCAATCTTACTCTTTGCTCCACAACACGGATGACCCTCTTGAATCAGAGTCACATAGTATTCCCCCTGACCATGAGGAATTTGAGTTCAGCGAGGTTTTCGTGCACCAACTTATACATACAATAGAATTTGTGCTTGGAGCTGTGTCTAATACAGCTTCGTATCTACGTTTATGGGCCCTCAGGTAGATAGTTGAATGTTTTTTATGCCATTGTGTGAGTTTTGGTTACAATGAATTAAAATTCAACATGGATATGGGCATGCTGTTTCCCCCTTCAAGTATGGTAGGTGAGGGCTCAGTTTGGAATACATTTTAGGCTTTGAGAAATTGCAATACATGGGTGGCACGAACTATGAATCAGTGAAGGTCCAGTGGACTTTAGGATCCTGTTAAGTCCTTGGGAATGGAAGAAAACTCAACAAAATGAATTCGTGTGTAGAAGGAACATATTCGAAAATTAGATGTGTTGCTAGAGACCATTATCTTATTATCTAACAATGACTCTAGTGACCTCATGAAACGAATGCATTGTAACTAGGTTTGATAGGATCAAATCATTTGTGGTTGGCTAGTTGCTGAATCTAGCAAATTTAGGCATTGCATCATGAAACAAACCACGAAAGACACAGCAAAACCTATGTCTAGCCACTTGCTGAAAATCTATGAGCTAACATCTGCATACTTACGGGTTAGTAAACCCAACCGGAAGCACTTTTTCATCTTGGTTAGATCCGCATATCCATACATTGCCAGCATTAACATGTACGCCTAATACCGTTTACTACAGAATGATCATCAGCTTGAAGAAGAAACCTTGACACTAATATCTTGTCCTCGGCAAGTTTCAGGATTATGCCTTTTATTTCATTTTTTTTTTCTTTCAAGGGTTGGTTGTTTGGATTTCTATTCAGGGTAGTCAAATGACATAAAAACGTGTATGGTATACTGTCGCACTTGCATTAGTTGCGGCTACTTGTTCCACTAGATGTTTGGTGCTACCTTGTATGGACGAGCCTTGAAGTTATATCTTTCGTATTAGAAATGCATCATACCGTTTCATTTTAATTTCTATTTTGGTTTTTGGTCTTGTTCAGTTTAGCTCATTCAGAGTTATCAAGTGTTTTTTATGACAAAGTTCTACTTCTGGCTTGGGGGTAAGTTCTTTTAGTTGTGTTATGCAAGCGGTGTACCATTAAGAAAGTTCTTGTCGTTTTAAAAATCCTTTGTTTGTGTGACTGGTGCAGGTTTAACAACACCATTGTTCTAATTGTTGGCATTATAGTTTTTATATGTGCAACTGTTGGTGTGTTACTGGTAATGGAAACTCTAAGTGCTTTTTTGCATGCTTTGAGACTTCACTGGGTAGAATTTCAGAACAAATTTTATGAGGGAGACGGTTACAAGTTCTTCCCATTTTCATTTACATTACTTGCTGATGAGGATGAACTTTAGTTGCCAAATACCAGATGGCATGTATAAATAGAAATATGTCAATTTTGCCTATAGAACCTGGCATGTCTTGTATATGAAGCTATCCCCTGCATGCCACCTAGTATGTAATTATATCATGTATTCATTTTGTCAAATGTCTGCTAGAATAAGAGCTCTGAAACAATGGAACACCTATCTTTCCGATTTGTTAGCCAGTAAATTTGTAGTCACAACTCAAAAACCTGCAGTATAGGAGGAAGGGAGTCTGCTTTGGCTGATCCTAATCAGTAACTACAATTTGAGGGGTTTCCGTTTTACCGAAGGCATTGAATGTATATGACACCTCAGTTGTGTATAGTGTAAAATTTGTTCTCGTTTTTTACTACATAACTGTTTTGTCTAGTCAATTCAAATTGTTTTCAGACGATATTGTCATGCCAAATTACTCCGGTAGACAATTTATTATTAACATCACGAGACATTCCATTATTAGCTCTCCGAATTCTTAACTGATCTCCTTTAGCAAAATTTCACCCAAGTTCACTGGGCTGTATAGTAGGAGAAAACCTTAGGTACGGTACACTGGGAAAAGTTTGAGATTTAGCAAGAATAATAAAAAAAATACGGAAATAAATGAAAAAATAATTTCCCTAATTAAAAAAAAAAAGTACCGAAATAGGTACATCTGATGTATTGAAAAAAAATTCGTATAGTAGAAGTCAATATTATTTGGAACAAGACAAATTATTTTCATTCACGTTACTTGACATAGCTACAATGTATAATAATTTGTAGCAAGACTAGCTAGCATAGAAAATTACATAATACATAAACATAAGAGTAGCAGTATCTTTCTCCATAACAGTGCATTACACAAATTATTTACATAAACTCCCATAGTTTGGTACCACAACCACGATAAGTTATCCTCATATTTAATGGTTAGATCTATCTATAGCAGCTACGGTTGAGACCATGGAATCCACCCCACATACATTGCGACCTCTGCAGATCTTGTAATATCCTTCCTCTCCCCAGCTCTGCCCCCATGAATTCTTTACGATCCAGTAAGGCTTTTCCTTAAACCTAATGGGAGCATAAGCACCAGCACCATAGCCCACCAGAAGAACCCCATGATCCAAATGCTTGCCGCAGATGTATGGGCATGAGACGCCACCTATATAAGTCTGCATAAAAACTGCATTGATACCAACTGTTCCATACAAAGCAAAAGTCAGTATTTCTCTAATTGGCAATTCAATATACCTTGTTCTATGAAAAACAAAAAAACATGGGACGATCAGTGAATCCTGTAGACATTTCTCAAAAATCCTTTGGGGGAAGGGGTAGGGGGTAGAGGGATGCTAGGGGGCCAAGCCTGTTTATCCACAGAAAAAATAAGCTACCTGCTAGAGGGCCATTCTTCACCAGATTTGCAGCAATTTGATCTTCATCGAGGGAAACCACACTGAAATTAGATACGGAAGCAGCAATTTTGCTTTTGTCAAATTTGCAGGTACCATCTCTTCCAGTGTAAGGATAATCCTCTTCCCGCACAAGTCCACCAGCCTTGATTGTGTACTCGAATGCGGAGGTCATCAACCCACCATTGCAGCCTGAGTCACATGATCTTTTATCTTCTGGATCACACTGGGAAATAATTTATAGATGTTAATTCATGATGTTTTTCCAAACGCTACACCAGATCATGCCGGTGATAAATTTACCACCTTCCTATGAGATTTATGTTCAATTTCTCAAAAAAGAGAGCATTCATTAGTACATAATGTCTTCAGTAAATAATTAAATATCAATACAACGATCGAACCATGTGATTAACCATACACAGCAATTATACCATAAGTTTGTAAGCGTATAAAGGACAAATAGGTGAATTTATCAACAGAATCAGCAATCTCAAGTGACACATACTTCAATAATTTCTCAGCAAAATCTAATGGTTGAATCATATACAAAGTCAGGCTATAGAGATAAAAATATAGGAGAAGGAACTCTCAATACATCAAGAGAGGAAAGACGAACCTCATGATCGCAATCCACAAGTTGTTGCTCACTAAGGCTCACTAGCTCGCCAGTCGCCAGAAAATGAGCTCCTTCCAACGCTCCTGTGGTGCTAAACGCCCAACACGATCCACATGAACCCTGATTCTTCACGCCAGTTACGGCTCCACGATCGCGCCAATCGAAATCGGTTGGGAGATCATTAGTAGGGAGGATCGGAGCCTTTTTAGCATTCACGGGAAGACGAAGAGGCTTAAGGCCAAGGAACTGGCGGTGGAATTCCGACGGAGTAAGATCGGAGAACTTGGTGACGCCGTGGACGGCAGAGGGATCTAGCTTCTGGTGCGACTTGGCTCGGATCAAGTTCTTCTTGAAGATTCCGAATCGATAGTCGTGCTCCTCCTTTGTAGCGTAGGTCTTGCCAAACTTGGTCTTAAAGGTGGAGAAGTGGTGCTCGGTGTTGAGCAAGTGATCCTCGACGTCCGACACCACTTGACGGATCAGAAGGTCTTCTTCATCGTCGATCCGCTCGGAGTACACGGTGGTTGTAACGGCGGCGGAAACGAGAAGAAGAGCCAAGACCAAGAGTGAGTAGGTAGCCATTGGAGGAAGGGAAAGGATGAATGAGAAAATGCATCGGATACTTTGGGAGATTTTATCAGCGCTGTAGCTAATACGATCTCGACACGTGTTTCTCTATTATTGGATCAAGTTATTCAAACTTATAAGTGCACTCATCAGCTAATAAGTACCACGTGGCCCTCTTCTGTTCATCCCTTTTTCTTGTGATATTTTCATATATATTTTTTGGCAAACAATATTTTCATATTTAATAACAAACTCAACGCATCCTTTTTCTTGTTTTTATGAAAGATATGACAAAATAGATAATAAGCATCTATATTATTAGAATAAATTTTTAAATATTATTCTAATTTTAACATAAACAAGGGAATTATTTTTATATAATCTATTATTTCATTAATTATTAGACTAGTTTGATTTAAGTTAAGTAAAATTATATATGTGACAACTTTTTTCATCAAGTTTTTTAAAATTTGAATTCAAGTTCATTAATTAAATTAAAATAATTCCTTAATAATTAATTCACTTGATGGTAAAAAAAAAATTTACATGCTATGATATCTTTTGATTGAAATTGAATGAAGGATAACTTTTTTTTACTTTACTTTTTTTACAATTTCAGGGGGTATTTGGTACGCGTCATTTTGTAGGATTCCTGTGAAACTAAATTTTTTTAAATTTTTAATTTTTAAATATTATCATAAACTGAATATAAAAATTATATTTTTGAAAATCGAGATTTCCAGATAAAAAAAAAATTTCTCTTCTACCAAACGCTCCCTCAAATAAGAAATATTATACATTAATGCATACAACTGTACTCATGTATCTTTCTAACTGTAAATGAAGTGATTTAATTAAGGGTTCGTTTTTTCTGCAGTTACTGCAGATAAATTATCTACAGTAAGTCCAATACGACGTTGTTTTGAGGCGAAAATCATAGTGTATTTGTAATTTTAATTTATTTCAGAGTTATAATAATCTTTATATTTATAATTTTTTAAGATTTCAATATCAAAATGACATCGTTTTAAAAATAAATACAGATAACTTATCTGCATTAACTGCAGAAACATTTTTCCCTTTAATTAATGTCAATGTTTAGAAATAAAGTTTAACATACACATTCAATTACGGAGAAATCTATTTATGCTTCCCAAATTTCTAATACCAGTATACTGACCTTTTTGTATTCCAATATATATACTTGATAATAGGGTAATGCGACTATGCGAGAATAAACTCGATAAAAAAATATGAACATTTAGGCGCATATGACGCAATATTTTCACAATTGTATGTTAATTGGACCCTGACATGGAATCGGGTTTGCATTCTATCATTTAATATCATCATACAAACATTTCTACACACACAACATTTTGTGGGCCCACATGTTTTAAAGAAAAAAAAAAACTACGGGCACATAAAACGAATCTCTATAACATTACACAATCATTTTTCCTACAACATAATTCTTATAAAATCCTATGGAATATTAATATAAGGCTCGTAGTAAAGTTTTCATTATTAAGGAAAGACTTTTTAGTCAAGAAAGATCGCATCTCGGTAATACTAAATTTCATTGTCAAGATATTTCTGCAAAACTTATCACAAAGCCACCCACAAAAATCAACTAAAGAGACTTACTATCTTACAACCTGCAACCAACTTGGAGAACATCTCTCCACAAAGCTTGTCATCTCTCCATCAAAGCTGCTCATCTCTCCATAATAAATACATGTGTTAATCCAAATGTACACATCTTCTCCTACATGAATAAACCTGCTTGAATCAAATTTGACTTAAGTGTTAGAGTATCTTGCTGGTACACCACTCATCTTGTTCCATTGAAGACCCATGGGTTAAAGCTGCACCAAATCATTTAGGGACTATTTCCCATAGATGGCGCCAATAATCAGAACCATTTACATCTGAGTTGACCATGTGATAAGGCAAAGATATGAATCTTGCCTGTTGTGAAATCATGAATGGTGAATAGTGAAGTTATGAATATCACTGGGCTGACCATGTGATAAGGCGAAGATATGACTTATCTTGAATTATCTTAAACGTATCCTTAATGTCTCTGCTGTGAAATCCATAAGAGATTGCAAGGATCCATAAAACATGAAAGGCAAAGACATGAAACTTGCCTGGAATGCAGATAAACTTATAAAATATTATAGTTGATATTTTCAAGGTTATTATGAAATTATCTTTAACTGATTTGAACTAATCTCATTGAACTTATCATCTTAATTATATGACATTATTCTTCGAGATACGTGAAAGTTGCAGATTTCACTGAACAAACGAGATATGAACCTTGTCTACAACTTGCTAAAAGTGCCCAAAGCTCTTAAAGTTAGACTTGTAGACACTTGAGGGTAACGCCTAAAAGGCTAAAACTCAAGTTGAAGCTTGAACCTGCCAAAAATACCTAAAGCTCTTAAGCCTAGGAATGAAAAAACTCTAAGGTAACGCCTAAAAGGCTAAAAACTCAAGATGACAAAAATCTGGTATGCAGGCACCTGAACCCTCATACCAGTGCTTGAGGGTAAGACCTAAAAGGCTAAAAACTTAAGTTGAAGGCTTTAGGGTAAAACCTTATAACGGTTAAAACCCTAAGTTTGCATGAAGCGACATCAAATATGCGACATCAAAATCCCAAATGGCAAGATCCCAAAAGACTTCCAGCCATCTTGCCCAAAAGCAACATCAAAACTCACACAAGTGGCATAAAAAGCAAGAGCATGCAAAATATCAAGGTATGAAAATATATGAATTATGAAATGTACATGGTGTAGGGTACAAATATTGCAAAGTAATATGAAATGTACATGGTGTATGGTACAAAGTAAAGAGCATAATGCAAAATAAAAGAACAAAATTTGCCAAGTTAACACACAGACAAATCACACCACGAACTTATACATCTCGCTACTCATGCCTTCAACATAAGCAATGAGTTGAGAGGCTTCTGATCTGGAAGATTAATATAAGGCTCATACTAAAAGCCTTCACTATAAGGAAAGAGTTTTTAGTCAACAAAAGCTGCATCTCAGCAATATTAAATGCTACAATTACTATTGCATCTTAGCAAGTTCCTCTATAAAATTAATCGCCAAGCAAACTTCACCTCCAAGACATATGCAAAGTTTATCACAAAGCCACCCACAATAACCAATTGGAGAGACTTGCCGCATCACAACATACAACCAACTTGGAAAATATCTCTCCACAAAGTTACGCATCTCTCCACTATAAATACGCATGTACGTTAACCTAAAGGTACACATCTTCTTTTACATGAATAAACTTGCTTGAACCAAATCTGACTTGATCGTCAGAATGTCTTGCGGTACACCTCTCATCTTGTTTCAATGAAGACGATGGGTTAAAGCTGCTCCTATTCAAAGCTGTATCAAATCATTTGGGGACTATTTGTGCAGAGAAAAATCACATGATCAGCCCGATATAAATGGTTTTGATCAGACCGTAGAAGGAATCTCTGTAACACCTACTACTGACCCTAAATTGCTGTAGATATTTTACTTGTATTAAATGAATTTATTTGATTTTTTGCATAATTATATTTATTTTTAAATTTACGTAATATCATATTAAAATTTTGTTTGTAAACTAAAATGTAACTTAATATTTATAATTTGAATCTAATTTGAATATATTATGAATATCAAAATATATACTATATGATGTGCTATAATATTATTTAATAAATTTAACATGTCAAACTTATTAATTGATAAATCAACACATTGTTAATAAAAAAATAAAATTTTATAAGTCAGGCAACACGAATTCCTATAAATTAAAGTTGCGTGTTAGAATTAAAGCAACCGTCTGAATGTCTTTATTATCTTAAATAAGGAAGAAAAAACAAGAAATGAGAGAAAAAGTCATGAATGCCACCAAAACAAGGACAGGCAATCACGCATCTCACGACATATCTACGCGGATTTTTATTTTTTTATTTTTTAAAATCAACTGTAGATAGAAGCTGTATGATTTCAAAATTTTAATAAGTTAAGATTGTGATGTATTTTAAATTAAATTAAAGATAAATATTACTTTATTTTATATACTTTATGGATAAATCTACTTTAAATTTTTTATCCCATCTATATAGCAAGTCAACTAGAACAGAAGATTCCAGTTGCAAAATTATGTCCAGGTAAGTGGGTAACAAAATATGTTGGTCTTGGAATGTATTTTAATTTTTACATACCAAATTGGCACTTTCAAACTAACAGCAGCTAAAATAGGAACTGTCATTCATCTAGTACATTTTTCTACGATATAGATAACAATGTCCACTAGTTCAGAGTCAGCCTCAATATGCCTGACATTCAGTCATAGTCAGATTTTAGGCCATGGGCTTTATCTTTACCCTCATAATCGGTGAGTTGTTAAAACCAAGTTGCTAGATGAATTAGAGAGAGAAGATTAGTGAAAATTCTGAACGATACCAATACTTGCCACCTCTAGGGGGTAGCCAAACACATGTTGGGTGTTACGGTATTTTGAAAATTAAAATTGCATTTTCATGTAAGATTAGTATTTTTTATGTTATGGAAAATAATTTTTTTTTGTATGGCCCCACATGAGACTCACAAACTTTTATACCTATGTAAAAATAAAATTATCTTCTACAACATAAAAAACATTAATTCTCTAACAAAAACAACACAAATCATATAAGGGATATATTTTTCTTATGTTGTAGGAAAAGAATTACCTCATGTTGTAGAAATAAAAGTATAAGTGGGACCCACATGTAAGAGGAGAGAGAAAAAAAAAAGTGGTGGGACCCAACCCTTTTTGTGTGTGTAGGAGAGATGTTTATCTCATATAAAATGAGATAAACATAACCCATCATATAATTACATACATGAATACTATTAGCTATCAGTCCACATCCATCAACCAGCCCATGATCAAGTCTTGAAAACGAGTGGGCCTTTTCACTTCAATTTTTCTGCTAAGCCCAGATGTTCTGGTCTTCATGTTCCTTGATCCTTATATGGGCCAACTCCAATAGCTGGGCCCTTAACACTAGACTTCCTCTTTATGACTTCTAGCTAGAGTAGTTGCCCATGGACTCCTCCTTTGTGAAGCATAAAAAAGTTCACTTTGAGCTGATGAGGTGGAAATACAGGGACATTTGTTATTTCACCAAAACAAAAAAAGGGACTTTTGTTATTATGTTATTTATAAGTTTGATTTTGTCTTCTTCTTTTTTTAATAAGAAACATAGTGTTAAGGAAGCTAACATTTGCTAGCTGAAGGAAGGTTTGAATGTTGTTCCCCAACTCTGTTGAAGAGTACGGTTACGACCTGAGCTACTGCTAGCTCATGTGGCACACATAAATTTCTCACCCACAATTACATGTCAAGCACAATTGAAGCGTAAGCAAACAACAATTTAGATTTCATTTGAAAATTGTCTGGATAATGTTGCTAATGAATGAAAATGGTGGCCATTGTTTTGAAGATAGATGTGAGACCTGAGAAAGCTTCCATCCTCAGATAAGATTCGAGGGAAAATCAAAGAAAATTAATCACAGCTGTTATGGGCCATTTTATACAGATATTGTAGTCAAAGTTTTTAAAAGGAAAAAAAAATCTTTTGGAACGTATATTTTTGAAGTTATGTATAAAAATTGGGTTTAATGTTTCTTATAGAAGATAAATTTATTTCTTACACAAACAAAAAAATGTATGGAGCCCACATAGATTATATGAATAAAAGAGAAATTTTTTTTTATATATTATAATATGAGAAATATTAACCGCGTACAAATTTTATGTAGAATTTTAATACAATTGTATTTGTTTATAAAATTTCCCGATCTCTTGTGGTTGGCAATGTACCATCCCTACCACGAGCAAACATTTATTAGAAGCCTTTTTATCTTGGATGAATCTCTTTTAGGAATCAAAGAAGGGTTGTTATTATCCATGTATTAAAAAGGGTTGTTATAGACAAAAATTTAATTTTCTATCAAGAAACTGATTCTGCGCTCTCTACAATGTTGCTTAATTTCTTTTCCCTTTGCCTGAAGAAGTGAGCAAACGTGCTTGGAATTAATTAGGACGATATTATGGATGGCCAATAGAAAATAGAGAGCAAATTTTTCATATTTAGTGTGATTTTTTTTTATTTAAAAAAAGTAATAAAATGAGAAATCATCTTACAAACTTTTTAATCGTGTGATAGAAAAAAAAAATATTTTTCGCAATATTAATCCATTAAAACATATTATAAATCTTTATAAGTTTTAACTTTTTTTTCTCACTAAATTAAGATTGAGGCTCAGGTGCATTCTTAAGTCGTGAGCATTTTTTTCTTTTTGGTTTCAATCATGTATAACAAAAATGGAAATTTATGGAGATAAATATTTTAAATATAAATTTCTTCGCATATATTTTTTTTAATTTTATAGTATTATTTTGATCTCAGGGTTAAACGTTTTTATTTTTTATTTTTTATATGGCAAATAAAAAAAAAAAACATTGTTAAACTTTTTGGTCCGACAAGTTTCGAACAGTTAGGTTTCTTGTGTTCCCTGGTATTGGCCCAAGATACCATTTTATTTTTCAGGAAGTCCAAGTCAAATTAAATTGACTGGGGGTTATGTCGGTCTCAGACACGAGCGTAATGTTTTAGGGCGCAGAGTGAGAGAGAGGGAGAGAGAGAGAGAGAGAGAGAGAGATGGAGGAGGAGAATGGAAGTAGCAGCTCCAACTTGGAGACTTTGAAGGCTGAGAGATCGGTGTGGTTGATGAAGTGCCCTTTGGTTGTGGCTAAGTCATGGCAGAATCATCCTCCTTCCCAACCTCTTGCTAAGGTTGTACTTTCCCTTGATCCTCTCCACCCTGAAGATGATCCCTCTGCTATCCAGGTTTTCCCTCAATTCAATTCCCATTTTGTCCCTCACTTCATTTGCTTTTGCTTTCTTCTTGTTAGCTGCTACGGTAAATGCTAACACACTTGGCTGCTGTTTGGATCCGTATCCATACCTAATCTGGATAGCTCGTCCCTCTCTTATTTTTTGAACTTTTAGGTTTAATTGTTTTCAATCCTTTTTAACTTTTCCAAAATGACATACAGTTTTAATTTCGCAAAATGCAAAAAATAGAAGCTTTTTTTTTTTTTTTTTTTCATATGGCATGTATGACCTAAAAAGAACTGTGAAAGTGTGTTTGGAACACCAGATTTTAGAAATTAATTTGATTTGTAAAATGAAATCCTTCGTCTGGGAGGTTATAAAATAGGAACTGTAGAATATTCTAGAGTTTTCTACTTGTTTCTAGCTACTTATCCCTTTGAGTAGTGTGATGCCTCTTCGGTTACTGTGTATTTTATTTATTACTTCAACTCCTTAACTACCTTGTAATCTGTATATAAAGATCCCTTTGGGTGTCAATCAATATATGAAAAATACATTTCAGTCTTATATTTCATCATGGTATCAAGAGCAGGTTATCCTGTGGTCATCTTGTAAACCTTCACGTTTCCTTCCGTTTTCCGTTTTTCACTGTTTATTAAAATAACTCAGAAACCATATCTGGACCCCTCCAATCACGAAACCAAGGCCACCATTGGACTCATAAGCCATTTCCGAGTCGACCCACGTCAGCCCCGTCGCCGGAAAGTCAACCACGCGCCGCCACTGCAGAACTGCCTCTCCGGCGCGTGTGAGCCACGCGCCGCCCTGCCGGCCTCCGTTTGTCACGCGGCTTTCACAAAACGGCTCGCCTGGCCTTCCTCTTCTTGTTCTGGGGGTTTAAATCACGATTGGAGCACTCTTCTTGCTGGGTCCAGTTGGTTCCTCTTCGTGACTTTTCAGTTCTGAACGATTGGAGTTCCTTTTTTGTTTTTTTTTTTTATTTTGAACAATGGAAGTTGAAAATATTGAGGCTGAGAATAAGCATTCTGAAAAATCATCCGGTAATGTTTCCGGTGTCTTTCCTCTTCCCTGTTCTTCGTCTTCCGGAGACAACCCAGCTATACAGATTACTAACCACCGTTTAAACGGTAAGAATTATGAGCAATTTCAGAAGGTGATGTCTCAATCTGTTGAGGCAACTAGTCATGTTGCTCAACAAGGTATGGCATTCCATGTTGATCATAGTAGTCGTTGGATTCTTGATTCGGGAGCTTCTGATCATATGACAGGGAATGCATCCCTGTTTTGTTCTTATATCCCTTATTATCACCAGTCACGAATAAGGACTGCTGATGGTAGTTTCTCTAATATTGCGGGAAAGGGATCCATTAAGCTCTCTGAACATATTACTTTGAATTCTGTCCTTCATGTCCCTTCTCTTACTTGTAACCTTATCTCTATTAGTAATCTCTCCTCTGAATTGCATTGTGTTGCTAAATTCTCTGCCAAAACCTGTGTTTTTCAAGAACAGGATTCGGGGTTGATGATTGGCAGTGCTAGAGAGGAAGAAGGGCTTTACTATTTTGAAGAAGATTCTCATGAAAAGAGATTTTTTGCAAATCACTCTTTATGTTTATCAGACGATTGTAATGATGTTTTGTTGTGGCATCGTCGTTTAGGACACCCAAATTTCTTTTATCTTCAAAAGCTGCTTCCAAACTTATTTATCAACAAAAAACCAAGTTCCTTTTTTTGTGATGATTGTCAGTTTGCAAAACACTCTCGTGTTTCTTATTTCCCTAGAGATTATCATGTTTCGTCTCCATTTACATTGATTCATAGTGATATTTGGGGCCCAGCTCGTGAAAAAAATATATCTGGAACTCGTTGGTTTATTACCTTTATTGATGATCATTCTAGAGTATGCTGGGTATATCTTCTAAAAGATAAGTCTGAAGCTGCAACCACTTTTAAAAATTTTCATGCTATGGTACAAACTCAATTCCAGACCTCTATCCAAATCCTGCGAACTGACAACGGTACTGAATATTTTAATTCTGTTCTTGGTGATTACCTAACCAAGCAAGGTATTATCCATCAAAGTTCTTGTCCTAACACCCCTCAACAAAATGGGGTGGCTGAAAGAAAAAATAGACATCTCATTAAAGTTGCTAGAGCCCTCTTGTCTACAATGCAGGTCCCTAAATACCTGTGGGGGGAGGCTGTCTTGACTGCCTCATATCTCATCAATCGGATGCCCTCTCGCGTCCTGAATTTTCATTCTCCCATATCTTGCCTTACCCGCTCTTTTCCCTCCTTTCGGGCTCTCTCTTCCCTTCCTCCAAAGTTGTTTGGCTGCGTGGTTTTTGTTCATATTCCTCCACATCAAAGGTCCAAACTTGATCATAAGTCTGTTAAATGTGTCTTCATAGGATATCCTCTTAATAAAAAAGGTTACAAGTGCTACTCACCTTCTCTTCGAAAGGTCTTTGTTTCTATGGATGTTACTTTTTGTGAAACACAATCATTTTTTCCCTCGACTTCTCTTCAGGGGGGAGTCTATTGGTATAAATGAAGACAAGTCTTGGAATCCAAATAATTCTACTGTCTTACCTTTACCCTTGGAAACATTTGTTGTTTCTTTACCTTTGGAGTCAGGGGGAGTTAATGTACAGGAGACAAGGACAACAATTGTACCAGAGACTGGAGATCCTCCCGGTAAATGGGAAAAATTCTACAGCAGGCGAAAATCTCCTCAAGATCCTCTAGACTGCCAGGATTCTGACCCGAGTCCTAGTTCCAGCAATCCACTTGAGAACACTGGTACAGTTGACCTAGATGTGCCCATTGCCCTTCGAAAAGGTACTAGATCTTGCACTGCTCATCCTATTTCTCATCACATTTCATATGAAAAGTTATCTCCAGGTTTTCGTGCTTTCAACACTATATTAGACAGTACAAAAATACCAAAAAATATCCAAGAGGCACTTAATGACCCTAAATGGAGGGATGCAGTCTTTGAAGAAATGGATGCTCTTAAAAAAAATGGAACTTGGGAGTCCGTGGCACTTCCCAGAGTAAAGAAAACTGTAGGTTGCAAATGGGTGTTCACAATAAAATTTAATGCAGATAACAACATCAACAAATATAAGGCCAGATTGGTTGCCAAAGGATTTACTCAGACTTATGGGATAGACTATCAGGAGACGTTCGCTCCCGTTGCCAAACTTAACTCTATCCGAGTCTTACTATCACTTGCTGCCAACCTTGATTGGCCCTTGCATCAATTGGACGTAAAGAACGCTTTCTTAAATGGGGACTTACATGAGGAAGTTTACATGGATCCACCACCTGGTTTTGAACAGGGAGATGGTTCTGTATGCATGTTGAAGAAATCTCTTTATGGACTTAAACAATCCCCTAGAGAGTGGTTTGAAAAGTTTACTCGTGTTGTTAAAGAAAGAGGATTTATCCAAGCTCAGACTGATCACACTTTATTTTTTAAACACTCCGATAGTGGCAAAATTGCTATCCTCATTGTTTATGTTGACGACATAATTGTCACAGGTGATGACTGGGAAGAAATAAAATCTTTAAAAGGGGGTTTAGCTAGTCAGTTTGAACTAAAGGATCTTGGATCTCTCAAATATTTCCTTGGAATGGAAGTTGCTCGTAGCAAGGCGGGAATTTCCTTATCTCAAAAGAAATATATTCTAGACCTGCTACAAGAAACAGGTATGCTTGGGTGCAAGCCTGCAGAAACTCCAGTTGAACCCAATATTAAATTGGGAATTGAAGATGGAAAAGATGTTGATAGGGAGCAATACCAAAGGTTGGTAGGGAAGCTGATCTACTTATCTCACACTCGGCCTGATATTGCATTTGCGGTTAGCATGGTTAGCCAATTCATGCATTCTCCTAAGGAAAAACACCTTAGTGCTGTTTATAGAATCCTCAAGTACCTCAAAAACACCCCTGGTCGAGGAATGCTCTTTAAAAGGGGACACAAGAGGATGATAGAAATCTATACAGATGCTGATTGGGCTGGCTCTGCTATGGACCGAAGATCCACTTCAGGATATTGTACCTATGTCTGGGGAAATCTTGTGACCTGGAGAAGTAAGAAACAAACTGTTGTTGCCAGAAGCAGTGCAGAAGCAGAATTTCGGGCGCTAGCCCATGGCATTTGTGAAGGAATCTGGTTAAGAAGGCTCCTTGGAGAATTAAAGATATCTTATTCTCTACCTGTGAGACTCTATTGTGATAATAAGGCTGCAGTCAGTATTGCTCAAAATCCTGTACATCATGACAGAACCAAACATGTGGAGGTTGATCGTCATTTTATCAAAGAAAAATTGGAGGAGGGTAGTGTATGTTTGTCATATATACCTACCAAGGAGCAAACAGCCGACATTCTCACCAAAGGATTACACAAACCCATCTTTGAGGATTTAATTAGCAAGTTGGGAATGATCAATATATATCTCCCAACTTGAGGGGGAGTGTAGAATATTCTAGAGTTTTCTACTTGTTTCTAGCTACTTGTCCCTTTGAGTAGTGTGATGCCTCTTCGGTTACTGTGTATTTTATTTATTACTTCAACTCCTTAACTACCTTGTAATCTGTATATAAAGATCCCTTTGGGTGTCAATCAATATATGAAAAATACATTTCAGTCTTATATTGATTTGTTTTTCAAATCCTTTCGATTTGAGTTGCATGTATTTATGTAAAAATTCACTCAAATTTGAATAGATTTAATTTGTCAATTCTTTTCCTTATTTGTTTGCCTATTTTATATGTTCTAGGTAAGGGACTGCGGGTAATATTGTGAATTACTTAAGTAAAATGAATTCTATTCACCTATAAGGTATTCCAAACATGGAATTTGATTTGCAAATTGTTTTTATTTTTAATAATATGTTCAAAACATGAGAATTGTTTTCATTTAGAAACCAATTCCACATTTTAATGATTTTATTGTGTGTGTTTTGTACTATTATCCCATTCGAATTTATTGACTGTGCAAGAGGATTGAAGATTCAGCTTCTAGATTCGTCACAGTATAGTCAAGTTCTTCTGATTAATATTTGTTGCTTGTGTTAATGTGAGATAGTCATTGATTTTATGACACTTTCGTAATTATGTCAGTTTACAATGGAGATGGCTGGCTCTGAAGCTGTGAATATGCCAAAAACTTATTCTCTGAATATGTTTAAAGACTTTGTTCCTATGTGTGTCCTCTCTGAGACAAGCCAAGGTGAGATTTGTAATCTCAGCTTAATGCCAGTTGTAGTTCTTATTTATCAATAATAGCAATTTCAAAATTATCAACTATTCAGCAATACCATAGTGCATCCATATCAGTTATCTAATCTCGTGTACATAATATAATGTTTATTTTATTTTATAATATCTATTTTTGATATCATAGCCTTTCAAATTAGAAGTTGCGGTGTTGTCATCAGGGTTATAGTTCGAAAATCATGTTATTATTGATTATATTGTATTGATGCTTATTAAACTAGTTATGTTAGTAATCTATTGTTTATTGAACTGGTTGTCTGGGACAGAGCTTTAGAAGGTTTAGAAGGGGTGCATATCCCCCTTCCCCCTAAATTTTGTTTTCAAAGATGTATATAATAAATTGGCAAGATTTTATTGATAAATGTTGTTAATAACTAGTTCATTCAAAGCCCACTGTAGTTAATCTTTTGTTTTCTTGATTCTTATAAACTACTGTCATTTGTTTATATGTAAAAATGAGTGTGTCTACATCACTTTTGCAATCTGATTGTGGGTCCTTCATTTCACTTTTAACTCTGCATTGCATGTCGGATTTGGGTGAAAACTTTTAAGCAAATTAGTTTCTTATCTTATTAAGGTCTTTCTTTAATCATTCTATGCGTGTTCAGCTCAACACTAAATGTCAAAGCTTTGCCACTGGCCCCTCAAATTTTTTGTTCAAGATCTGCAACAGCTAATTATGGTTTGAGATTTTAGCACAACAGGATATTGCTTGCTAATCAGTATATTTATTTTTAATCATTTTGTTGATATTTGACAATTATTTTGATTTTCAGAGTCCAAATAATTTAATATAAACTAGCGAGCATCCCATGCTTTACACTAGAATTTAGTATAAGTATAGATTAAAAGAGCGATGATATTTGAAACTAAAATAAGGATATGTATGGTAAGATTGAAAGAGAGTTTGAAATTTTAAAATTTAGTAGTTAAAAAAGACATGTTTCATTTTTTAAGTGAGATTCAAATTAGAAATTAAGCCATTTTCTGGAAAGAAGACTCAAATTTAATTGATTGGGGTGGATAGGAATCAGGTAATCCCATTGTAAATGGGAAAACCCTCCCAATTTAAACCCAAGTAGGTAAATGGGGATTGATACTGGTTCTAAATTCAAGTACCATACAAATCTGTAATAGGAGAAACCAGGAAGTTTGGGACCTAGTGGGGACTGAGATAAGGATTAAGATCTCTTCCCAAATGGGGACAGGAACGGGATTACTTTTCACATACCCAATTCCTGCTGGGTGCCATCCGCCCATCCCTATTGGCTGAACAATATATCAAACCTCTTGTATATTTTTTTTTGGACTATTTAATAAATAGACCACTCAGAATGTTGGCTGTTTTATATGGATAACAGTTTTTTCCCTAATTCTTTGCCATTCCTCTCTGGGCATGATTTTTGTCTTAACAGTTTTATAGAAACTAGAACTCAGAACTGAAAAATTATTTTCTGTTTTAAATGTGATGTTTATGTTAAGAAGGGACACTTGGAAGACAAAAGTAAATTTGAGATGGAAGGTTTCTGAGTTTAAGCAATACAGCCATTGTTTATCGTTAGTAAATAGCATTAGTAAGTACTGATGTTCTTTTATTTCACCGAATTTTCTTTTTGCAATGTTTACATAGTAGTCATCACTTCAGTTATGTAGTGTACTTGGCAATTTGATTGCTTAAGGGGAGTTTGAGATGAGGAGAAGGGGTGTTACCTTTTAAGTTTCATTGGTCTAATTAATTTGTTTTATGATGACATGGAAATTTTTAATCATGAATTCTGGTATATTAATAAATTAAAATAGATGAATAATACTTGTACACACAGTTTTTTTTGTTTTTTTATTTGTCAGTTGTTGTATGAAGCTTAGTTGCCATAGGTTAGGTAACAGCTTTTATGTTTATTTTAGGCGGCAAGGTTGGAATGGAAGGGAAAGTAGAACACAAGTTTGATATGAAGCCCCATGGTGAAAACATTGAAGAGTATGGCAAATTGTGTCGTGAGAGAACAAACAAATCTATGATAAAAAATCGACAGATACAGGTAGTGTTTCATGTCTATCATTTAGTTATTATCCCTAAATAGTCTTGCTTTATGTCCATGATTAAATAATTGACTCTCTGGTTCCCTTGATTCAATTGGAAGGTTATCGATAATGATCGTGGTGTTCTAATGAGGCCAATGCCCGGAATGATTGGTCTAGTTTCATCGAATTCCAAGGTACCCTATTTTGTATACATTTTATGATCTATTGTACATGTTAACATTCTTCCAATTGACTATATCTGTTGCTTTTGCTTATATGAAATTTCAGGCATAGCGTGTAGACGTTTTACATTAACAATTAAAAATTAAAAATTAAAAACGTAAAAGTTCATATCATGACTCTAAAACATTATGATATAGTAGCCACTACCACAAGCGTTATCCACGAGATGATACCATCATAAATTGATGTAATCACAGTAAAAATTCACTGGAGTAATATGAATAATACTTGTTTCAAGAAGAAAGTTAGGTCCTTCGAATGTGTGTGTGCATGGAATAATCTGTGAGGTTTTTTCTTGTTCTTATGAAACTTTCACAGGATAAGAAGAAGACACAGCCAGTTAAGCAATCTGATACAAAGAGAACAAGAAGAGATAGAGGAGAGCTGGAGGATATAATGTTCAAGCTATTTGAAAGACAGCCTAATTGGGCCTTGAAGCAGCTTGTCCAAGAGACTGATCAACCTGCGGTATGTCTTCCTGCTCTGTTTTTCTTCTCCGATTCCATAGCTTGATGTGATGTTGTGTTTATAGCATTCATATGTTCTATAATATATATAATATTATATATCTATGCATTAAAGCTAAGTTCCCCCTCCCCGTTTTCTTTTGCAGCAATTCTTGAAAGAGATCTTGAATGAACTGTGTGTGTACAATAAAAGAGGTGCCAATCAAGGAACTTACGAGCTGAAGCCTGAATACAAAAAAACTGTTGAAGATCCAGGCGCTGAATAAGTGCTTTTGTTCCTTACATTCTATTACTGACTCTACAAGCCCCTTCCCCCCGCCAACTCGAAATTCAGTCTCTTTCTCGGCATTGAGAAGGTTGTCAACGTGTTTAGGGTAATGGATGGAAAGGCAAAGAATTACTAGACAACAAAATAACTAGCAAAATGTGTATCTGTTCTACAGGCCTGAGGCCCTGTTATATGTGGACTCTATTTCATGATTATTGAATGTATATTAGCACGAAAATGTCCTAAATGAATTTTCATTTTGCAGCTCAGTTGTCTTCCGTTCTACATGTGTTGGATTTATTGTCTAGGTTCTTTCAGGGGAGGTCAACGTTGTAACTTAAATATTTGCTTAGTTTTGAAATAATTTTCATTTAGGATTTTCTATGAAGATTAAGAAATTATGATTCTTGATTTTTTTTAAAAAAAATTATATTTGACATTGTTTATTTACTTTATTACTATTCTCTTATTTTATTTAATAAAGATATTATTTTTTAAAGTGATGAATAATTTAAAATAAACTAAAACTTTCAAAGTGATATGTATTTTGTTATTGTTTTTTTCATTTTTGTGTATTTAGGAAGGCTTATGACCTAGACCAACCCAAAATAGGGGTTACATGCAAAATAGTCTGATTGTCTTTGATAATGGCAAAAGCATTATAACTGTATATTTCAAGGACGGTAAAGGAAGAAGACTAGACACAACAACCCAAGGGATCTATATATGCCTGGTTATTTTGTTATTGTCCTTGTCCATAGCACAACCACTACCTGTTAACAAGATTACAGGTAAACATTTTCAACCGTTGATTAGTTTTTGGAAAAGATGTTTATCCTTTTAAATGACACAATTTATGTCCTTTCAATCTCATAAAGAGATGAGATTCACACCTTTATTTTTTTTGTCAACTCTCTCTCCTCCTTTATCTATCTCTTTCTCTCTCGTAAGATGATACAATTTTACCTCCTTTAAACTGATACACATTTTTCTCTTAGTTTTTATTCCAAATCTACAGTCGTAAAAGCTTGGAGAATCCATACTCTACATATTTAGGAGCAATGAAAACAGCGTTTCCATCCACTAGGGCTAGCCTAGTGGTATGGGTGTGTGTAATAGGGTTTGTCTGAAAAACAACGTTTCTGTTTAGCTAAACGACAATATTTTTATAAAGTCATCTTAGGAGAGAAAATAGAAAGAAAAAAAAAGTTTTAAAGTGAACTTGTATTTAAATGTATAAACAAAAGTATGCATATAAAAATATATTCTTAGTTTAATTTAAAATATGTTATGATCTTAATCTATTAAAATTTAAAGATAAAATATGTTTTTATTTATGTAGTACATAGATAAATGCATTTTAAAAGAATATTGTTCAAGTAAATAAAAATAATTATATTTTATTTTATTTAACTTTAACTAAATCCTAATCGTATATCATTTAATCTTAAGGTGGTGTTTAGTTGGGAGCTTTTCAGCAGATATCTATGTTTCTCAAGTATGACTTTTAGAAACACCATGTTTGTTTCAACGTATTTTCACCAAAAACTCATCTATCCAATTTGTATGGATTTATGAGAAACATAGATATCCGCACTGTTTAGAAACCCAATCTGAAGGTGGAATTTTTTGGAAAACCGGTTATCTGGCTTTTAATGTACTGTTGATTTCATAAAGTTACTTAATTTTTTCAGTAAAGTTTTTCCCCACCAAACAACTTTTTTTTACATTTTTCTACCTATCTCACTTTATTTATCTTTCCAATCATTTATCTATCTATTACATTTCCCTACTATTCCAAAAAAATTTCCTCAACCAAACGCCCCCTAAGAGATGTTAGAGTGCTAAATAATAGTGGAAGTAAGCACCTTCAGAGTGATCTGATTGGCACATCTTTTTTTTTTTAAATAAAAATTTGCTTTTAAGCTAAAAATAAAAAAAATAAAATAAAAAACTAAAAACTATTTGGTGATTGTATAAAGCTATTCCTAGGGTTTTAAAGAGAGGAGATAAAATAATTTGTCATAAGAAGGTAATGGACAATTTAAATGTAAGTTTAGAATAAGAGTAAAATTGTAAAATAAGTATGAAGAATCCAAAAAGCTAACATACATCTTAAAAAAGAATATCCTTATAGGAGCTTTTAACTTTTATCTTTTTTCTTTATTATAATAAGAGTTTTTTTTTATAATAAAAGTTTTTACAAAATTATATTTGGTTAAACTTTTACTTTTAAGGAAAAAAAAGAAGCTGAAAATAATACATATCAAATATCCACTCAATATAACAACATCCTCGCAACAAGAATTAGATATCACTTTCAGGACGTGGTCAACAAATATGAATGATACAGTATTAATTGTTAGCTCTAAATTTCTCTGCATGGGGTTAGCCTGCCACTATATCAACATGTATATCTACAATTCAAAAGCTAGCATATTCTGTGCCTTGTTTTTCTCATTTATCATCATTACGTACGTGCAATCACATCAACCAAGTTGTTACATTCTTAATGATCATTCTTGAACCACAAATCTTCCATGTATTTTTTATATTTTTTATTTTTTATTTGTAGAAATCTTCCATGTATTTTGGTATGCTTGTTCTATATTTGAATCATTTGATCATAAGAAATATATATATATATAGTTCATCAACTAGGCAGAACTAATATGATCTATACCCAGTCCAAGTAAATATTGATGAGATTTTACTCTTATAAAATAGAGGCAAAATATTGATTAGATTTATATATCTCATGAATATTTAGCTTCATATATGACATGATTTAGTGTGCTGATCGTTTAGTACCCTAAACTAAAGGCTAATTAACTAATACATCAAGTTGCATTAGATTTTTGCCATGACAATGACAAGATTAGTTTATCCTGGTTAGCAAACTTCGGTTGCATATATATATATCATTGAAAATAGAAGACTTGATCCATCAAGTGGAGTTTTGAATGTGAACACCGAGATGAGACTATAGAGGTGGCAATAGCCCTCGTGAAACACAAATGGTAACCCACCATGCGTCTTCTATCGTGGAATTCAACTAGGAATCTTCTTTGTCATGCTTTAGAAGATTTTTGCGGCAACCTTTTCCCTCCTCAAAGATTCCAATACCATCTTCTCATCAATATTAATCGAAAGATCAATTTCAAGTAGACCTTGCATGGTGGGTTGGGTGTCCATGTTTGGGACCCTTCCACCACCAGAGGCACTTTAAAATGGAGGGGACTTTGTCACTCCCATGAACATGGATTCTAAAAGTGGTATATCTAATAAACGAAGAGAGAGAGACGCACGAAAACAGTAATATCAAAAACGGTTTTAATTGGGGAAGTGTTATTGTATGACGATTTTGTCAATGGTCCTGCCCTGCCCATTCAGGATATTCTCTGCATGAAGGAGCATATATCCCTGTAAGATAAGAGCACTTATCATTCATTAAATCATGGCTTAATGCAAGTTAGTCTTGCTTCCTGCGCGAGGCTTTTTATAGTTTTCTTCTTCATCAACTTACTACTATTACTTTACTTAATTACATTACATTCATTACATGAAAAATGTCTTCTATACCACCAGTTTCTGCAAGAGTTGTTTTAACTTAAAGGAGTGGTTTTGAGTTCTAGAGTCATTTTTTTTAAGTAGAAGTTACTTTTGAAATAAAATTACAAAAGATTTTAAAAAGTAAAGTTAAAAATTGTTTGATAATTATATAAAGTTGTTTTTGATAACTTTAAAGGAGAGAAGATAAAATAATTTGTTATTGGTATAGATTATTAGCGTAAAAATTTTTTATGAATACAAATTTAGACTAAGAGTAAAACTGTAAAATAAATATGAAGACTTTAAAATGCTGGCATATTTTTTTAAGAGATAGGATATTGTTACTATCAATTAGTGTTACTATCAATGTCATTATCAATTTATTTCACCGCTAGATCAATTATGTTAATTCAGCAGTTATAATATAAATTTTAACTTTTTTTCTTCATTATAAAAAAAAAATTATAATATAAATTTTTATATAATTAAGTTTGGTTAAGCTTATGTTTTTAGAGAGAAAAGAAGTTAAAAACTAGACATGTCAAACAAGCACCTAGTCTGGATAAAATTTGATTGGGAAAATTTTGTCACTTGTGATTCCAACTTACTCAAATCCAGATTAGTCGACACCAATTAGGTCATATACCAAATAATTTACGAGAAAAATGTTTATCTTTTTAAATGATATAATTTATATCTTTTTATTCTCACAAAGAGGTGGGACTCACATCTTTATTTTTTTTGTTGTCAACTCTCTCTCTTCCTTTATCTATATCTTTCTCTCTCTTAAAATGACACAACTTTACCTTCTTTAAAATGACACACACTTTTCTCATAATTTATATATAAAAAAATATCTTTTCCAGTTTGCAGCGGAGATTTGAAAAAATCGATTTTCATTATTTTTTTAAAATTAAAAAAATGCAAAAATTTAAGAAAATATATCTACCTGAAATAGTAATACAATATATCTTTTTAAAAAATTTAGAGAATAAATTTACCAAAAAAATTTCAACAAATAAAGTTGTTAGAAATTTCAAATTATTTATGTTGTTTTAAAAAAGGCTTTTATAAGAGTTATGTTGTAGGATGATTGTGTTATGTTATAGAGATTTGTTTTGCGTGTTGAAGATTTTTTTTGTTGCTGCGGGCCCCACAAAATGTTGTGTGTGTAGGAAACTTTTTGTGGTCATGTTAAATGATAGATGATAAACCCTTTAAAAAATTTCGGTTGATATTTTCTAAGGAAAATCCACTAGAAACCTCAAAATTAATGTATTTTTAATTTGTTGCTCTCCTTCTTCCAAAGTCCTCGGTTACGTGCATCCGACGTCATCGTTCTCCAAGCCCAATACAACATTTCCCTCTTCATTTAGGTATTTTTTGAATTAAAATTGGTTAAATATAACGGTATCTTTGTACATTGTTTTCATGATCTCCAAGAAGAGTTGAAAAGAAATAAAAATGACATTATAACGGGTAATAAAACGAGAATCTGTCTTTGGTTGTCATCGTAATCTTGGTTATCATTGTCCTTACTCTCTTCCTTTTCTCCCTCTGTCTCATCTTCCGATAATCGCCGTCGCAAAAAGATTTATGAATCAGATGTTTCATTATAGTTTTTATAAAAAAATAATGATAGAATAATAATTCTTCTAAGACTAATCTGTTAAAAAAAGAGAGTCATGCGAATGGTACACGTCACTATTTGCGGCGGCTAAATCAGGCTTAAATTTTCGGTGACTTGAAAACTATTTTTTTTAAGCTTTT